TTTGAGTGAAGGAAGGGCTGGACTACATTGCTACAGCCCTGTTAGTTTCACCAGATGTTTCCCCCTTCTGCAAAAATCCATTGGAGGCCCTTTCAGTTTCTGAAAAACTGAATTGAAAAATACAAATATATTTTTTTTCAATCCAGCCTCTGTCCCTCATGTTGGGTGCAACCTCCATCCCAGTTGGGATCCAGAGATCGTCAAGTGACATCTCTGGAATACTGAACATACTTCATACTCCTTCCTCCTTCTATTTACCACACAAGAACTGTGAAAGTGTGTGACTGATCCAAAGTCACCCAGCCAGCTTCCATGCTTAGGGCAGGACTAGAACTCATAATGTCCTGGTAAAGTTTGGTGCCTTAGACCCTGGCTGAGGAATTCTGGGAGTTGAAGTCCACAAGTCTTAAAGCTGCCAAGGTTGAGGACCCCTGCCTTAGACCATCAGCCTGACTCAGCTTCACAACTTTTACGTTATCTTATTCTATCACACCAATCATAACTCGGATTATATTGTGATACCATAATGATACATTTCTGAAGAGGCATTGATGGTGATACCCCAAGATTTGGAGATGGTCAAGTTACACCTCTGGATGTTGCATTTGGTCATCAGCAGTATCTTTCAAATGTTCATCTTGGAATGCAATCCAGATATGGAAGCGATTCAAAATCTTAGGCAAAATGGTTTGAAAAGATGACAAACGTAAAGATTGATAAAAGACCGCTCTAGAGAAGACAGTAATCTTCTCCCAGACCAAGATCAATCAGTGGCTAAACAATGATAGAGATCTTTCTAAATATTGAGAGAAACTTCCTGGGGGGGGGGGGTTGGAGATGGAGTCAAGATGTACAGTGAGAGGGACCAGATCTTTCTTTCTCCCCATCATAGTTTTCACACAGTTTAGGGTCATGTTTTGGATCTGCATTAATTTTACAAAGTCTTAATTCAAAATGTTGCCAGTTTGCACTATTGAATTTTCAGCAGTCATGTTTTCAGAGCAGGATATTTATTCCTGAGGACATATGTAGGTTTGGGGGCATGGATTAAGTGAAAAAGACAGCTGCAATGTGGCCCAACTCTTTCAGATCTTCAGAACTGAGCAAGCATTGGAATCGAGGTCTTGCAACGAACACAATTTACTGCAGTTTTGTATAGCACAAGCTCACAAAAGCTTCACTATGGAAAAAGAAAGACAGCATAAAATGGAGTGATTGTCTTCTTTTTTAAATTTGTTAAAACTTTATTCAACTTTCTTAAATTTGGCTCTAGATGACTTTTGCTAACTGTTACAGAAATGAATTGTTTACTGCTGCATCCTTCCAGAATTCCCAGCTTTATGAGAAATTGAATTAGAATAGAAAAGTAAAGTAAACCTATGGTTCTAGGATTTCTTTGAAGCCTCCTGTCCAAGTTAGAGTTTCATTCATTGTAGAAAAGGGGGGGGAGGAAGTAATGAAAGAACGGGCAGTGCAGAGAATAAATGATAAGGGTGGAAACACATTGATTCACACGATTCTGATTTAAAACTGCAAACTTCCCAAGGCCTGACTAGACAGGCTGTAAAACAATTATGTGGAAAAGTAGGGAACAGAATGGTATTTTTCATGCTCATTTTCTCCCTTTCAGTAATCTCTGTTTAAGGAAGAAAAGCCAGGGACTGACGGCCTTGGGAAAGCAGTGGGAGACAACTACTGTCTTGTGACTATTTCACACGCTGTTAAAAACCGCTTTCCTTGCTAGAAAGCTGGCAGTGTGTTCATAAATCACTTGTTCATGGTTTGTGTTTACGACATGTCCTGGGCTTACCAGTCCCTTTGAGAGTGATGCCCCTTGATGTCTCTCACATACAAACTGGTCCGTTTTAGACGAGAGGATGGTACGTAGTTCTCTGCAGAGCTGAATAACCAATTAAAATAATTCAACATAGGAGAATATTTGAAGCTCAAAGTTGAAATGAGGGTTCTTTGGTGCTCTCTGAACTTGCTGGTTTTCTTGCAGACGTTACATTATTCAAATTAGGTAACGTCAGCAGTGCTGATGTTAGCTAGTTTAGGTTATGAAACATCTGCAAGAAAACAGCTGAAGCAAGCATCAAGGACCTCTAAAATAATCCCATCCAGGTGCCTGAACTTTCTGGAGCATTCCTTCATTGCCCTTGGGGAATTTTCTTTATTTTTCCGTGGATAATACTGCTGGCTCTGTGCAATATGCAGATAGGCTGGAAACAGGATTGGCCCCAAGTGTTTTCTTCCGCACTCCTGGGTAAAAGAGGCAATAACCAGATCTCACCCAGGCTTAGCCTGTCCAATTATAGGTTAGTGTCAAATGTTCCCATCCTGGGAAAAAATGATAGTGATAGAAGAGAATATTTAAAGCTCAGGGTTGCAATAAAAAGTCCTTGGTGCTTTCTGAGCTTGGCTGTTTTTGTGCAGATGTTTCATTAGCAATCTAGGTAACGTCATCGGTGCTAGTAGAGAGTGGGTCCATTACCAAAATTTTTGGCAATGAAATTTGGTAATGAAATGGCTGCAAGAAAGCAGCCAAGCTCAGAAAATACCAAGGACCCCCCAGAAAAATGATAGAGAATGTGGTGGCTTCCAAGCTCCAGATGCTTTCAAATGGTATGAGCTGTCTGGATCCATTTCAACTGGGCTTTGACTAGAATATGCTACTGAAACTGATTTGGTAACCTTAGAGGATGATCTGTGCCAGGAATTGGATGCTCTGCTCTTATATACCTCAGCAGTTTTTGACAGTATTGATATATATATAGAATACTGTGTCATGGAGGGAGAAGCTTCAGCAACACATTTATGGAAGCAGAACAGAGCTAAAAGCTCAGTTAACTTAGTTCGGGTTTTATTTTCCTGAGGAACGTAGAATAAAGAATACAGACCCCATTATTCAATCGAAAAAGGAACTGATCTCCAGAATCTGCTCATTCTCTTGATCTGCAAGGTCAATTGTCTTAAGGGGGAAAAAATACTCAGAATAAATGTTGACCTCACAAAGAGATCAACCAGCTGAGTCCCCATATTAAAAAAAGCCAAACACATCCATACAGTTTTCTTATCACCTTTGTTTCTTCCCCAAAAATTTTTTCAACTTCTCAATCTAAAGGGCTCAGATGTCCTAATTACCCTTCCATGTACTAAGTACTAACCAAGAAAGGATCTTGTTTTAACTTCTAAATCAGCCAAGGCTGGTCACAGTAGCTGCCTGTGCCAAGTTGGGATCGTTAGTACGTTTTGTTTCTTTGCAAAAGCAGCTTTGGATTTTGGCCAATGAATAAATGTAAATCTTGAGTTTAGCCACGAAGTAAATATTGCTTCTGAACAAAATAAAATGGTTTGCATAGCCTCTCAATGGTGGCTAGCTAAAATTGCTGGATCCCTTTCAATTATAATTAACAGCTTCTTGCACTCTTCTATGCATTTGTGCAGAACTGTTTCTCTTGATCAGGGGTCTTCAAACAAGCCATAAAAGGGCTTGTTTGAAGACCCCTGCTCTTGATGGACATTATTGCAAAGAACATCTCAATGTCACGGTACTAGATTTTTTAGGACTTCAGCCTTGCAGATCATATCAAGTGAATGTACTATACTTGAGGGACTGTCTCTTCTTAAGGAAAAGGCATAGTACGTTCACATAATAATGACTTATCAAACAAATTAACCAAGTTCCCGACTTGTACAATATATTGCACCACAAATCAACCTGACTGGATTCACCATCTTAAACCACACACACACACACACACACACACACACACACACACACACACACACAAATCTAATCAAGAATAACATCAACCAAGATCAAGTATACTGTACCAATGTAGTCTTTACTTGACATGGTTCACACCATCCCACATGCAAAAGTGCAAAGAGCATTTATTCCTGGCCCAGCCACCTTATTGGGTATTTATCTGTGATTGTGCACCAACACATTCACCCAACTACCTCATTTCCCTGGTGTGTAAAATCCAGCCTTTCCCAACCATTTTAGAGGGCAGCAACGGAGGGGATCAAGCTATACAAGGAATGGTTAAAGGAGCTATAAATGATTAGACTGCAGAATAGATTAAAGGGAGATGCATCAGCATCCCACATATGTAAACATTTTCCCCATTCTCTGTTGGAATTGATAGGACAAATACCAATGAAACTAAATCAGGAAGTTCAAAATTTAAGAAATTGCTTGACAATAAGGCCTGTTAAGCAGAGAAACCATTCAGAACACTGTTGTACTCTCCTGGCTGGATGTTTTCAAGCAAGAGTTGGTATCTGCTTGTCCAGAACAAATTCCTCTAGTGAGGACAGAAAAGCTGGTCACCAGGAGTGGAAAGGATGATGACCTTCTACTCACTCACTCTATAAGGTTGGGAAAGACTGCCCATCAGCTGTGCAAGGTAGATACTGTGACACAGATTATATTACCTGTATGCAAAAAAGCCAGGAAAATCCCTCACCTCTTCCTTATTCAATGCTAGAGATAGTGGGAGAAAGAGAAACATTCTAAGGGGAAAAGATCAACTCTATATTTATAATCATTTTCCCTGAGAACATTGGAAAAAAATAGATGACACATCTCAATATTTTCTCCTAAATGTTCTCTGATATATATAGTGTTCACATGCTGCAGCTTTTACACAAAGCTATGGAACTTTGTGTACAAAGTTATGGAACAGGTGAAAACGTATTATGTAAGAAAATTTACTGTCATTATAAATTTCCAAGGATTAGCTGTGCGGTGTTAACTCTTAAAGCTAGAAAACATTTTTTTCTCCAGAGTGATATTTTTTCTATTCAGCAGAAATAACATATTTACCATTTACCCTGTCACCACACAGAGTTTCCTTCCTCTGTTTTACGTATGAAATAAAACAGCTTATTCCTTTTTTTTTTTCATCCAAGTTTCCATCTGAAAAGGAAGAATGAGAACACAACACACAGAAAGACACAGATATACAGAGGCCAGCAAACAAAAACCCATCTGACTTAGAATCAACATTTATTTAAAGGGGTAAGGAAATTTAACTTTACAAGAGTTGCTTTTCGTAGCAAGAAAGGTAGATAAATAAAAGATTATGAAAATCTGGTTTTTTTTTCCATTTTTGCAAATTACACCGCGGGAAACTAAAAAATTTACAATCGTAAACCTAACTTAATTTTCTTTACATAATTACAAATGAATATATAACAATTTCTTTTTCTTTTCAACTCTCCATTGATGTACATTTGATTTTTAAAGGTTTATCTTTTCCTTTTTCAAGATATATTTCAATCGGAAACATGCAACTGGTACCTTCGCACAAGCCTATGGGAAGAAGTGGGAGGAACTCAAGTGAGAGAAATGCATTGTCATATAATTGTGATGCTAGTGCACACAATCCTTGCCAAAAAGAACTCATCACAGTAATCAACCATAAACTAGCCAAACAGGAAATGAACAAGATATAAAGAACTCATAATATCCAGAGATTTCTTTGAAATACATAGATCAATTTCTATCTGGTCTCTCTTGTGACAAAAAGGAAGAATGGCAGCAGAGATTTTGGCTAAGAGCTTTTCGTATCAACTGGTATCTCTTTTGCTTTTTCACCGTCTCGTGTGTCTCTGCACTCGCACGGTGAGTTGCAGACAGGAATAATACAAGATTAAACTAAATTAAATTCTCTTTAAAACTTAAGATTTGATTCCATTGCAGAAAGAAGTACACTTGTCAACTCAAAAGCATTTGGTGCGGCAGAGACATCCCTTGGCAGTTACGATGGAGACAACCATTTTGGAGAAGGAGGAAAGCGGTTTTTGAAAACCTGCCATTCCTCTTTAGAGCACCAGAAAAAGTGGAATAAGCATCCACACCGTGTGAACTGACTCCAGTTTTCAACCCATCTTCGTTTTTTTGCAAAGAGCCTTCCACCAGTCTTAGCATCTTAAGTTTGCTTTGGCCAAGAAATGCTGTATATTAGAGGTTTTTTTTCCCACCAGTGGTTGATAGCATTTAATGCTGGTTTCATTCAAATAGCACATCAGTAATCAATGATATATTTACACAAGAAATACACAGAGACACACAAACACACATACAAACAAACATTCCTTAGGCTTCATAAGCCCAGCTTAAAAATAAAGCAAAACAGACAATCCAAGTAAACATTTGTCATTTTAAAAATCCAGACTTCTTTCAAACAAACAGAAAGATTTTTTTTTTTTTCAACACAAGCCCAGCTTGCAACTGAAAACAAATATCACGTAACAATCGTGGTAATAAAAAAATAAAAAAAACAAGAAATAAAATTCTCTAGCTGCCTCTAGCTTTCTTTCTGGACAGCGTGAATTTGTTTTAGAGAACATCAGATTCAGCCAGGACCCCAGAGATCATCTATACTTGTAAAGGCACATTCATTAATTTATTTATTTTTTTAAGTCCTGGTTCTGCAAATTGGGTGGTGTGTGAAAATGGTTTCTGAGATGTTTTAAAGAGAGAACACAAGGGTGGAACAATAGTGCAAAACCTTCTTTGAAGGAGGGGGATACCCAAAAATGGTTTTCTTGTTTATTCAAGCTTTAAAGGTAAACAGATTCCTTGCTATTTGCTCAGCCTACTAGAATAATCTCTGGGGCAAGACGCTGTGAAAGTAGGCTGTAAAGATTTTCAACACAAGGATGTTATTCCGCACTCATCCCAAATTGCCAAGCTGAGCTGCTTTTTGGTTTTTCCAATCTCTCCTTTCTCACCACACCAATTTCTTGCAGTCTGTCACTAATGCGAGGGGAGAAGGGAGGGAGATTACATTTAAATCCTGGGGCTGGATAAAACTCCCTACTAACTATGATGGGCCAGATGATCCTAGAGGGTTAAACTTGGAGGAAAGAAAGGAAGGCCTGACAACTATTTCCTCAACTGCATTTACTCTTGGCATGAACGAACAAGGGAAACGGTCCATTTCCTCACATGCTCCCTGCTTGGACCAAAGCATCCGTGTGCTTTTCTAAACAAAGCTGAGTGGAAAGGAGGCCTACAAGAGAGACATTCCCCTCTCTTGTAGACCTAGCAGACGAGGAGAGCAATGATATCCATTTGCAGGTAGGGAAACAGAAGCAAAGCACTTTCCTACATTCCATGCCAAGGAGACCAAATTCAGATGACTTATGTTCTGAAACTGACTGATGACTATCCACAGATGCAAAAAACAAACAAACATACATTTATGTGTGTTGACAGCTGATAAAGTCTGGCTTCCCTTGGATAAGTCAAGAGGACACCATTTCCCCACCCATGGATTAAGGCAAGTATTAAAGGAGCAACTGGAAGGTAGGTATGCAGCAAATAGTTTTGGGGTGTCTGTACATTTGCATACATTTTTCAACTCCTGGCCCCTCCACTTCAAAAAAGGTGATAGCATTGAGATGAGAACTCTACAAATTCTTAAAGCAACAAATCTATCCAAGTTACATTCAGGGGTATTGTGGCCTCTTTAATCCACGTGAAAGAAATTATACCAAACCAATATAACGGTACTTCTCTATCACAACTCTTTCATCCTAATGACAGTCACCCACTTCCTCAACATAGTTTCTAGCGAGACGAGACAATGAAATTGGGAGAAAATGTGTACAGGAATTTGGGAGAAGCCAAGAAAGCAGGAACAGAGAATTTGGTTTGAGTTTGTAACTTCTTCAGCTTCTTCAACTGCATAGCCAACTCAATAGGTGTTGCTTCCTAGATAGACAAATCCTATACAGGGAGTTAGGATGTACCTCACAATTCCATGGAAATTCAGAGTGGTGGCGATTTTAAGTATTCCCTTTGTAGCTGTTCTGAGATGACTTCCAGAGAGGATTTTCTCATTTCCAACCATGGCCCATTTCACCTCTCCAATCTAGGGCCATGCGTTGGTTCCAATCCATTTTATATTTCTTTTTTTCTGCCGCTGGGCAATGTGCTTCAACTATTCCCCAGGAATCTTGCTTTAGGGGCCCTTCCACTTCAAAATCTTGATGCAACTTTGCAGCTGAAGGCAAAACTCACAGAGGCCGTATAGCCCTGACCCAATCCCTGAGCAGGTGCCTGCCAACCCTGTTAGGATACATCTAAAGTTCCTTAGCTTTCTCTACAGACATACAGCATATCCAAAGGATATGGAGCTACAATTTATTTTTGGTGTTTGTGTGTGTATATATCTATATGTTCAGTTAAGTAGGTAGAGAAGTGTGTATACATTACATCTATATAGACCAGTGTAGAAACACTGCGTAAAAGAGTCACATCTTTTTTCTACAGAAGGTTTTTGATTGGGGGGTGAGTGTGTGTGTGGTGGTTTCCAAAGAGAAGGTGAGCTTTGTTGCCCTTGTTCACAAATTCCGTCGTTCAAGATGAAAAGGAAAGAAGAGAATATCCGCCTAGGCAAGTCACGAGTTAGCATTGCAGAGAGAATCAGAATTCTTCAGAGCACATTCAGCTCAAACTGAGCCCGCCCAGTCTGGCTGTATCCACAGTTCTTCCATGTGGTCACTCCTCCTCCTCCTCCTCCTATTGTCCTTTCGGACATGTTTTCAGATGTGACCTATTCAAGAAGACCCAGAAGTGGGAATGGACAGTGGATTATAGGAGTGAAAGGTGGGGAAAGCCCAACGCAGTTCAATGTCTAGAATAAAGAGTTGTTCGATTCTTCGGCCTCTCTCCATAGGGCAGATCTGGAGATGGCCTGGCTGGAGACAAGGCGTGGGATCAGCAAAAGATCTCCTCGCCTTCTGGTGCTCCTTCTGCAGAGTGAGCATCTAGGGGGGGAAAAAAAGAAGAAGAACTCAAAATAATGTCAACACACATCAGAGACTGCTATACAGCTAGTCCTCGGTTTACAACAGTTCATTTAGTGACCGTTCAAAGTTACAACGGCACTGGAAAAAGTGGCTTAGGACCATTTTTCACATTTACGACCATTGCAGCGTCTCCATGGTCGCGCAATTTACATTCAAATGCTTGGCGACTGGCTTGTATTATGCCAGTTGCACTGTCCCGGGGTGATGTGATCCCCTTTTGCGACATCCCTACTGTTGTTGCCTACAGACTCTACTGATCCGCAGACTAGACTCAGATCTGGACCACTAGCAAGCAACCTGGTAGGAGATGTTTTCATTCTTAGTTGTGCGGAATCTTTAGAAGCATCGAGTCCGCCCCCGGCTTACCAGAAGTCTGTGAACGATCCCTTTTGCTCTTCTTTTTCTTCTCCTTCTTCTCCTTCGGCTTGGCTAAACCGAAGAGGCGGTTGGGTATCTGCCCATGTCCTTCTGTTGGCTTGTTGGCTTGGCCCGATGTTGCAGTGCCAATCAAATGAAAAGAGCTCTTCTCTTTATTCGTCCTTGAGAGACTGTTCCTTTTGGATGAGGCGGAAAGTTCTGTATCCAAGTGCCCTTTGGGCAACGAGGAACACAATTGTCTAGAAGACAAGTCCTCTGTGGGAGGAAGGGAAGGGGTTCTGCTCATTTTGGTATGTTGACTGGGATTCTGGAAGACACAAGACAAAAGAAGAAATAGGTATGGTAATGGACTGTTCACGTTTGCATTTATGATGTGTTTACATTCTCCAACACCCTCAGTTCCCTGGCACCACAAAGCAGGTTAAAAATGCAACGTGAAATAAATCAAAATAAAACAATAAAAGCGGTAATAAGTAATAGTGGCCATAGGTTAAACACCACAAGAAAACCAATACCAACACTGAATAATATTAGAAAGTCTTCATTTAGTTGGTCAGGATACTATCAGTGAAAAGATACGTTCTTCTGTAGATGTCCACTTTAATAGTCCTGGCACTATAGCTACTATATACATAAGGACAAAATCAGAGAACATCTCAACATATTTAGATAAAAAAAAAACCGTGTCTTCCAGAACGGAATAGAAGTGACTTAAGAATTCATATCTGGGACTGCGTAATGCACAAGAAAATCAGTAACGCAGCACATGCTTGTGGGAAAAAAAAAACATTGCTGATCTTCCGAAGAAGACAGCTCAACAGGTTCAACCGAAGGGTCCACAAACATTGTTTGAAAAGAAGGGATCTAGATCCTCTGCGTCTTCAGATCTTCCTCCAACTTCCTTCGTTTGATGCCAGACAATGTACAGGTACAAAAGAAGCAAATTATTACCAGTTTGAGATCGGGTTCCATCTGTGGTTGAGATATTTGCTCCATTTCCTTCTTCAGTTGCTCCTTTTCTTTCTCTAGTTGCTTCTGGGCCGTCCGGAGACGTTCCAGATCAAGTTGATAGGCTGCTTTCTTCTGCTGCAGCTCCTCCCGCTCCTTCTCCAGGCTGTGATGCCCTTTCTGGATCTGCTCTTCCCTCTGGCCTAGCTGAGATTCTCGCTCCGTTAGCTCTTTCTCTCTGGCCTCCCACGCCTTCTCTTTCTTCCTCCGTTCCTCCTGGTGCAAGGTCTGCTGCTTCTGCAGATTGGCCAGCTCTTGCCGCTGTTTTTCCAGGCTGCGTTGCTTTTCCTGCTCAATCAAAGAGTTAGGTCGGAATGAGATGCGGTTCAAGGTCCTCTCGGTGAGCAGCAGCTTCTGGTCTTCAATGTAGGTGTCTTGTTGCACAACAACAGCCTGTTTTTTTTAAAAAAAGAGAGATGAGGCTTTCTATTAGGCAGAGTAATTTTCTTCGAAAGTGCAAAACTCAAGCTAAAATTCCTGAGAAGAACCCGTTAGAGTCAATCACCATAAGAGAGGGGATTGGCTTTGGAGAATATCTGCAGAATGCCCAATTAAACAGAAAAATTAAATAAATTAAATTCAATCCATAGCTTGGTGCTCGGCTGCTGAGATCTTGCAGAACCGAGCTATGGATTGAATCCATAGCTCGGTTCTCGGCTATAGTGGCCTTTCCAGAAATGCAGGCCTGACTGAGAAATGCAGGTCTGGCTGCAGAAGAGGCCTCAGAAAAAGTGGGCCAGCACGGAGAGGCCTGGCTGCAGGGGAAGTGGATGTGGGGTGCATGGGGCAGCTCCACACCCCTACCCCCGCCATAGCTTGATTTTTAAGTGTGTGCCTCACCCCAAAACTAGGGCTTATTTTTGGGGTAGGGCTTCTATTAGGCCCACCCCCAAAAATCAAGCTAGGGCTTATTTTCGGGGAAACACGGTACTGAAAATCATTCCAAACCATACATGTCAATGGGTCTGTTTCAAATTATAACAGTTTCCTCCATCTGGGACCTACATCTTTGACTGCTGGCGCTTGGTGGCACAGGGATTAGAATGCAGCATTGTAGGCTAACTCTGCCCATAGCCTGGAGTTCGATCCTGATTGGCTCAAGATTGACTCAGCCTTCCATCCTTCTGGAGTTTGATAAAATGAGGACTCAGATTGTTAGGGACAATAGGCTGATATTGTAAACCACCCAGAGAATGCTATAAAGCACTATGCAGCGGTATATAAGTCTAAGTGTTATTGCTTTCTTTGACTGCTAGCTTGTGTGAGGCTGCACGAAAGACAAGTTCTCAGCACCAAAGCTATCTTCCTTCCTCCCTCCCTCTACCGGAGCTCCTATATTTCATTAACCCTGGAAGAAGGGCTCTTCCCATGACTTTGACATGGCTCTTCATATGCATGGGAGTCTTGTAAAAGAAAGCCTGCAGAATCCTTGAGGTTTGTAAGTCTTCTAAAGCAGTGTTTCTCAACCTTGACAATTTTGACACAGCCAGCAATTCCAATGCTGGCTGTGGAATTCTGGGAGTTGAAGTCCACATGCCATAAAATGGTCAAGGTTGAGAAACACTGTTCTAAAGACTTTTTGTTTAAATAAGCATCTTGTTCTTTCCATTCCTTTCAACTGAAGGTTAAGGACCCCCCTTAATCTTTGAGTGGCATGGGGAGGACCTCATTCCAAAAACAGCATATGCCTCCTTGAAGTTCAATTAATTAATTAGAGTTCATTTATCTCCTGGTCTTTCATGAGTTTCCTGTTTGACTCATCCAAGATTACAATTCAGCAAAGCCTTCTCAGAACCTAAGGGTTCTGGAGAACGCATCCAGCCCTGAGGCTTCCATTTCCTGCTTTAAATGTTGCCTCTCTTGCTGTTGAGTCTCTTATTCAGCTGAAATATTAGACTGGATCAGCTTTATCACATCAGCAGAGACGTTATCCCTGCTTCTTTTTCAGCACTTACCTGCAGTAAGCCCAGCAAGCTGTGAAGCTGAGTTATGCTCTGGAGCACCTGCTGTAGAAGAAAAAGAGAAGCAAAGAGAAAGACACTGTCAACAGCCAAATAGTTTATTTGGTCCACTGGACTCCTACCTTTTAGGAATCCAAAAAGAAGAACTTAGCCAACAGCAGGCAGCTGGGAGGATGGACTGTGCTGATGGAGCATTAGTCCCGAAGTATTTTCCGTGCTCATTCCCACATGATTACTTGGGAGTAGCCAGCAATCAGCAAATATTCCCAGACAGCAAAATTCTGTGTACTTCACACTCAGGAAAATAAATACCCTGAAAATGACGCATGGGGGAAAATGCAACTCTGCCATTTGTCTTGTTGTTGCAAATTTACACCTCTTATTTTGCACAGCTTGGCTTTTCAAGGCACAGCATTGATTTTAGGTTGACATATGGCATTTGGAGAAGCACAAAATTACATAAAAGCATAGTATTGAATTTCAAAGTAAATTTGTTTTATTTAATCTAAATGTATAATTCTTGTATGACTATAGAGTTTCTATCGGTTCTGAATTCATTAATACAATGAGTTGGGGCTGTTTTATAGTGCATGCTGTATTATTTTGAATGTGTAGGTTAATACAATTAGATGTGATGGATCATTTAATTTAGGGGCTTCTTATTTTATGTTATAATTGCACCTATCCATTATATATATATATATATATATATACACACACATACACACACACATATATATTTGTACCGTTCCATACATATGTATATCCTGTTTCATATTACTAAGTTTTATTATGTACTGATCTTTGACTGCAATAAAGATTTCCATTCATTATATTATTTTAGGAATTCTTTTTTTAATTCTATGTCTGTACTGCACTTAGTTATGAATGCATAATAAATAAAATTACTAATTCCATTATTTAAACAAAGTGATTTTTTCATCAGCCACTGGGAAATATTACTTTCTACTAGCTTTGCATTAAACTTTCAGGGACAATTTCTTCAGAAATTCAAGGACTGGGGATGAGGGGTGGGGGTATTTATCATAAATCTTCAGACATTGCGTATCCAATTCAATATTTTATGGGTTTTCTCTTCTCCCACCCAATCACAGCAACCTACACATTCTCCAATGGTTCCTAACTGGTGCTCTTTAGAAGGGAATATAACATCCATTATAATGGATATTGTAGTCCAACCAATGGGAGGATACCAAGATGGACCATACTGGTTTAGTCCAAAGCTTGTCAAGAAGTAGAAGATGCATTAACCAAAGACCTTCTAATAATGAACAGAACAAGTAAACTACCAGGTCCCAGATTGGAAGATATTAAAAAAAATTAAAGGCGATGCCAAAGGCACTTTTTCAAGAGGCAACTGAACTTCCTCTGTTTTTCTTTCAAGATGTTCAGTTCTTCAGTTCTGAAGAAGCTTCTTGGATAAGAAGCAAAACATCTTCAAGGAAAAACAAGGGAAGTCCAGTTGCCTCTTGAAAAAGCACCTTTGGGACAACCGTGATCTGGATGATGGAGAATCTCCATAGACATAAAGGAGGAGATATCTCATTAGGCATAAGAAGGAGCTGATCCCATGTTCCAGATGTTGTGTAAACAGAAGGAAAAGGCCATCCTTGAACACAAACACTTACCTCATTGTTTCTTTTCAGCAAAAACATCAAGTTAGCTGTTCCTCCCTGAGAAGAGACCATAGATATACCCTCATTGAAAAAGAAACTAAGGACAGAGCTCTAAACAACAATTTATTTTTTGAAAGCTTGGGCTTCATCCCCCAGGATCCCTGATCATTTTCTGAGGATACTCTGTCAACTTAACACTCATGGCCACAGGCCAACATTTTGTACAAAGAACCAAACAACAAAACATTTAACAAAAGCATAAAAGAAACATGTTGCTCATTGCCTTCTCACATGAAAATAATCTACCGGAATTTAAGTTTTCTGGCAGCAATCATGACAGAAGTGTACGTGGCTGCCTTCCGTGAGGTTTTTAAGGATTGATCAGCCAACAGGAAAAATGAACTGAACAGAACAGCTGGAGGGATTTACAGGGAAGGATGCTGAACACTTGGCTGTTCCATACCTTCTTCAACACACTATCAGACTCAGTCCTCCGTAGATCCTGCACGTCTTCTCCTTCATCCTTCTCCCCACCTAAAGAACAAAAAAAACCCCAGGTCTGTTGTTTAAGCAAGAAACTGAAGATGGAGGACCCATGAACACCAAGCCATAAACCATATTTATTGATTTCTTGTATGGCACATTGGTATCATGTTTCTCTAAAAACACAAAACAACAACATATGAAATGTAAAATCTAAAATACTGTAAGCATATGTCTAGATTGCAGATATAATGTTTTGCTTCATTTGTCACAGTCAGGAAATCAATGAAGTTTCCATTATGTTCTGACATTCTATGACGGATAATCGGCTCCAGAGTCATGATGGTGTTTAGAGGGCACTTCCAGATTTACCATAGCCAGTGCGAATTCGGCTCAGTGTTGTCCATATTGCGTGGGGCTTGTCAAATCCAGGTGATATTTCCAAAATACAAGGCACACTTTGACACTAGAAGGGGCAATTTTCTTTTCATTTTTTTTTCATATATTGTACATAAGGAGCTATGGTGGTGGAGTAGTTAGAACCCAGTACTGCAGTCTGACTCTGCTCACTGCCAGCAATTCGATCCTGACCGGCTCAAAGTTGACTCAGCCTTCCATCCTTCCGAGGTCAGTAAAATGAGGACCCAGATTGTTGGGGGCAACATGCTGACTCTGTAAGCCGCTTAGAGAGGGCTGTGAAGCGGTATATAAGTCTAAATGCTATGGCTATATAGGAGGACAACGATTATTTGCGTCCATGGTGTTCCTTAAGCCAGAAGTGTCCCTTAGGTGGTACCAGAGAACAGCCACTTCAAGGCAAAATATATGAAGCCTCCAAAGATACGGCAGGCAAGTTAATCCGAGTGATCTCCTGGCTACATCATACCACACCAGGCAATAAACCATAAATTGTACAAAAGGGCTGAGTGCAAACACCATGCCAAGCCAAAACAAACACAACCTATGATTGTGAGAGTGACTGTCGCTATGGCAGAAGTAATTTCCCTTGTTCAGGAATCCGACTGCAAACAGAAAAGGGCAAAGCTCAGAGCTTGGGGTGGAGGTAGAAAAGACTCACCTTTATAGACGTTCATTTGGTGGCTGTCAAACCCTCCAAAGGTCTCTGCTCTCCTGGGGAGAGAGATGGGCCCCATACTCTCCTGGTCAGAGGCCGGACTGGTCATCTGCTGCCCGAAAGAACTTCCCAGGCCTCTGCTCACCAAACCTTGCAGCTGCTCAACTAAAAGAAGAAAACAGCAGCATCACAAGGCCGGCCGTGTTCCGTCCGCTGTGACCTTTACTTCAAAATAAATACGTACAGGCAGTCCTCGACTTACGATCCCAACTGAGCCCAGAATTTCACGTTGCTAAGCGAGACATTGGTCAAGCGGGCTTTACCCCCATTTTCCTCTTTCTCACCACGGTTGTTAACGGAACATCACTGCCGTCGTTTAATATATTTATTTATTTAAATAATTTTCTAACTCTTCATATTGCAACAGCAACCCTGTTCTCAGCCTGCTGCAGTTTAGTTCCTTGAAATCCAATGATTTACTTTGTCCAGGATATTTCAGCGTTTAGAGTCTTTCAGAAAAGCAAGTGACAAATGTTGGGTTGGGGACCGGCTTACCTTCACTGATCAGATTCTTCATTATACTTTCTCCTTTCGGTGCTTCGTCGGTGTTTGCCCGGAACAGCATCCGGGCCCCCTGTCCTTCCTCGGGCCCGCTGCAGTCTGTCATATCTCTGAAAATCTTCTCTTTTTCCTCCAAGAGAGTGATAATCTGCAGGTCTTTTTGGTGGAGCTGTTCTGTGAGATGGAACAGGAAAGATCAGCTAGAGGGCTGGTATTGACCGGAGAATGGAGAGGACTTAAAGCTGATGGGGTTTGCAATTGCTAAGGCTGGAGCGCCATCTTGTGCCCAGACAGAGAATTGTTGGAGTTAGGAGACTAAAAATTCAAATTATGGCATCCTTTCGGTTTTTACCTTTCAGTTCTCTGGCCTTGGTGTCCAGCACCCGCTTCTCCTCTTCTGATTCGCTAGGGATACCTTCATCTTCCTCTTTGTCCCTGTAGAAGAGTCAGGCAGATTGAAAAAAAAATTATGCTGGAGAAGTGTTCATCCTCTTGTCATTTATACTGATCTCTCTCTCTCTCTCTCTCTCTCTCTCTCTCTCTCTCTCTCTCTCTCTCTCTCTCTCCTTCCCTCCCTCCCTCTACTGCAGCATAGTTTCATCTCCTGTTACTGAGCTCCTTACATTGTGTTGATAGTGTCCTGGATAATTTGAATCCAGCTGTTGCGCTCCTCCTTAGTGCTGGCATGCACTTCCACCATCTCAGGGTCTTTTCCTCCCATGCTGATCAGGAACAGGCCCTTCTCCTCGTGGGCAACTTCACGGACAATCAGCTTCTTCAACGAGATCACAGTGGATTTTTGATCCTTTTGGAGAGTTGAGGAAGAGAAGCATATGTGTTAGGTTGATTTGGTGCAAGGGGAATCTCTATGCATACAACCACACCTACAACACGATCAGTCCTGTGCCGCAGCGATTCTGGAGCAATGGTAAAGAGACCACCTAAAGTGGACTTCTAATTTAATTCGTCTTTATCAATGACATCAACAAATTATATCAAGCTAATCAAGGAGAGAAGCAACCTAGAACTAAGGAGAAATTTCCTGACAGTTAGAACAATTAACCAGTGGAACAATCTGCCTCCAGAAGCGGTGAATGCTCCAACACTGGAAGCTTTTAAGAAGAGACTGGACAGCCATTTGTCTGAAATGGTGTAGGGTTTCCTGTAGGGGTTTTGTCCAAAATGGTATAGGGTTTCCTGCCTGAGCAGGGGGTTGGACTAGATGACCTGTAGGGTCCCTTCCAACTCTCTTATTCTAATTCTAATTCTATTCTTTATTCTGTGCTATTCTCTCTTCTATTCTTCTATTCTATTCTATTCTATTCTATTCATTTCTTAATGTTTATAATAGTTTAGATTTTGTATTTTTATCTCTACTGTTTACTGATGTTATCTTATTCTACTGCACTGATCACAACTCAGATTAAATTGTGAAATCACAATGATAAACTTATAAAGATGTGTTGATGGTGATACCCCAAGATCTGGGGAGGGTCAAATTACACATCTGGAGTATTGTACTTGGTTCTCAGCGCTATCATCCAAATGACTATCGTGAAATGCAATCCAGAAATGGAAGGGATTTTAATCTTAGGAAGAATGGGTTGAAAAGGTGAGGATGTTAAACCTGAAGAAGATTTTTTTTAGAAGAAGAATTGTCTGCAGTCTGCTCTGGAGAAGACATTACACTTAATTCTCCCAACCAAATCCAGAAAATGGATTTATTCAGGAACTATATTGTGCAAATGCAGCCAAAGTGGTGGTGGTGGTGGTGTTTCTTTTAAGGAAAAGGAATTGTGTAGAATTCCTTACCAGGGATGCAAATACGTATTTTTGATCCTTTTCCTGGAGAAATATCAGGACATCCGAGAGAAGAACAGCCAGGACCTCTGAGAAGAAAAGGGAACATCAAGATAATCACGTTGAAAAAAACCAGCCAACCCAAAGCTGACATGTCTGCGTTTACTAGTATCGCTCACAAGATCTCTTCTTTCATTTCCTGAAAAAAGGTCAAATCAAAGTTTAAGATTCTGCAAATTGTACCCAGCAGTAGGTAGAATTTCACAGAAGTCATCAGTTTCGTGTCGACCAACTTTCCCATTCAGGTTTTGATACCATTCTTCTTTCACGTTCAAGCCAGAGAGGATTTTGCCTCAGAGAAATTCAGGACTTTCCTGAAAAAGTTTCCCCCAGGCCTCCAGGCAAAGTGCAGCTAAATGACTTTGCCTCTGTGTGCAACGTGCATCACTGCGCACTTTTCTTTCCACCCCCACAACCAAGATTTTATGGGAGATAGAAGGTTTCTCAAAATCTGTGTCACAAGCGTCATATCTGGCGTGATATCTGGTCCAAAGAATTTGCAGCCACTTTCTACAACCTGTAGAGCAATCCAGCTTAGATGCTGGAGGAGATGTGGAAAGAACTTTACAGCACTGATAGAAGAGAATATTCATAGCTCCAGGTTGAAATGAGGGGCCTTGGTGCTCTCTGAGCTAGGTTGTTTTCTTGCAGACGTTTCATTACCAAACTAGGAAATATGATCAATGCTAGAAGGGAGTGAGGTTTGCAGGGAAGAGGAGGAAGGAAGGAAGGAAGGAAGAGAGGGAGGGAGGGAGGGAGGGAAGGAAAGGAAATTGGTGTTCTCTGTGTTTGGTTGTTTTCTTGCAGACATTTCATTACCAAACTAGGTAATATAATCAATGCTAGAAGGGAGTGAGGAGGAGGAGGAGGAGGAGGAGGAGGAGGAGGAGGAGGAGGAGAAGGAGGAGAAGGACTATGTGGTCCTTAGTGCTCTCTGAGGTAGGTTGTTTTCTTGCAGACATTTCATTACCAAACTAAGCAATATGATCAATAAAAAGCAGTGAGGATTACAGAGAGGAGGAAGGAAGGAAGGAAGGAAGGAAGGAAGGAAGGAAGGAAGGAAGGAAGGAAGGAAGGAAGGAAGGAAGGAAGGAAGGAAGGAAAAGATTGTGGGGTCCTTGGTGCTCTCTGGGCTAGGTTGTTCGCTTGCAGACATTTCATTACCAAACTAGGTAGCATCATCAGTGCAAAGATTTTAGGGTGCCTATTGTGTCCTTTCCAATGAATCAGGGCAAAGAAGCAGTGTCGAGTCCCTGTGGGATCGCTCTGAAAGCATCCCTTACCTTTCAATCTCCCAGCTACATTTTTGAGAGAAACCGGTCCATCTCGGACAAACTTCCTGCGCCTCAGATCTTCTCGGGCAAACATCTGCCCGCTCTTCATCCTCATGATCGACTTGCTGTCCGTCCGGGTATAGACCTCGTTAAGGCGCATCTTCTTCTCGTAATTGCTGACTTTGCTGTCGACGGCCGTTATGACTTCCTTCAACAGGTTCAAGGAAAGCACCAAGTCTTGATGTTCAGGGTCATTTTCTTTAAACAGAAGAAAAATTTCATTTGTTACCTTCTTCTCTTCCAGATACTTCACTTCTCCAAGCTTAGCCCTGTTGTTTTGTATTCTTTTCTGACCAGCCACTTATCCACACCAGCTGCTTACTTCTAGATCTCCTCCCAAGAAATTACTTAGAGCAGGAATCCAGTTAATGAAACTGACTAGCACCCACATTCATACTTGAGGAAAAAACAGCAGCAAAATCGTGCTGTTTGTTGCAGGCTTTGTTTCTGCGGACCGGTGGCTGGCATGCCGCGGTCCAGTACCGGTCCATGGACCTGGGGTTGGGGACCTCTGCAATAGAGGATTACGAAGACATCTGCAGGAAAACCTACCTTTGGTATATTGTAATATTCTCTGAAGAAGCACGGGGTATTTGGTGATCCTTTGCGTTACCAGCAAGATGCATTCAGGGATGCCCAAACGTCTCACCACGGAGCTGCTCATCTTTTTCTAAAGGAAGGAGAGCAAATTGAAACGTGGAGCATCTTAGGTTATTAGCTGACTACAGCCTTCAAAATACAATTCCAATGGATCAAGAATAGATTTATGGAACATTGCAGGACGAAAGAGCTGTAAAGAATGCTTAATAATTTCAGCTAGACCAGGGGTCTGGGAGTTAAAAGTCCACAAGTCTTAAAGTTGCCAAGTTTGAAGATCCCTGAGCTAGACAAATACAAGTAGTGACTATTCCAAAAGCCCAACACCACCGAAAAAAATGACTTATGACTGTTTTTCACCTTTACGTGGTCATGTGATCAGAACTGGCAACTGACTCATATTTATGACGGTCGCAGGGTCTTGGAAGGGGGTGTCATATGATCCCCTTTTGCGACCATCTGACAAGCAAAGCCAGGAGGGGGAGCCAGATTCACTGAGTAACTACGTGACGAACTTAACAACTGTAGTGATTCACTTAACAACGGGTTGCAAAATGGGGCAAGGCTCATTTAACAACTCCCTTGCCTAGCATCGGAAATTGGGGGCCTAATTGTTGTCGCAAGTCAAGGACAACCTGTATAAGTTCTTGAGAGGTTCTTATTTGCTTTCTTCCTTCACTGTTGGGCGAGAGAATGGCCAGGGCTGATGGAAATTATAGGCCAACAGCATCTAGAACACTACATGACCCATGGTTGATGCAGGCAGAAAAGTCCCTAGATGGAGTAGGATTTTAGTTCCATAAAATCAGGTCAGCTAAGACCTGGTAGCTGTATTGCATAACGCACAAAGCCTGGATAATGTTAGTCTTCAGGTAAGCTTCGTGGCTATCATTCTAGGGGTCACACCCACCTCCCTCACAAATCTTGATGGCCCTGCCAGCTTACTTTGATGAATGCCTGAAATCTTTTATCCTTGGAATGGAGGTCTTTGAAGTAATTTACTGCCTCATTGTGATGCCCACAGAACTTCCCATACGTTTTCTTCATTCGCTCGGCGTTCTCTCCGGAAAACTGCAAATTGCAAGAGATAAATCAGAATGAGGAAATCAGTGGAAGGAGGAAAACCAACCAAGCTTGCCATCTTCTGGGAGAGGTTGAGGTCATGGACCATCTGGGGAAAGAGGTTCTAGTTGGGATGCTTTTGCCAATGCAAAAATGGATCTTTCGTGTGTGGGCCGTTTAAATTCTTCTTGAGGTCTTAACTGAACCCAAATAAGCTATAAAGTTAAATTGGAATGATTTGCCCGAATCTGTGCTGTTCCTCTAATCAAAGGAGACAATGGTCCTTCCTACGTTGCATCAACTTCCGCTTATGATTTTTGTTTTTGCCTGTGTCATTAAAATGATTTTAAGGGTACAATGAAAAAATAAATAAATAAAGATGTCTTCAACAGTGGCTGTTCTGTGTTATGTTAAGAGGAAGTTTCAAAAAAAAAAGATGTATTAGAATTTATTCATTTTACAAACATTCTTAACGAAAAGTTTAGTTTTAAAATAGATGTAAACAAGAAGAAAAAACGGAGATGGTTAAATTGATTGCTTTATTCAAAGAATTAAGTTTCTATTTGGAAATCACTTCTAGATTTCGTGCTTGTGATGGGGAAAAAAATGAAACTTTTGACTTTGATTCTGCTGATTAGATAGATTTGTTGCTGTAGAAGTGGCTAGTATATACTAATGTGTAAAAGTAAAACATTGAGGCTATAACGTTACCTTCTACTCTGCTAAAAAGAGTTGGAAATCAATGTTCCCCCCCTTTTTTTCCCTTCCACCTCACATTTCCTCTTTCCTTCTCTTTTTTCTTCCTCTAATTTCCCATTATTTTAATTTTCCTTTGTAGTTTATATTTTGATAAACTCATAACATTTGTAAACACGAATAGTGGTCATTCTGTGGAGATATCCCTGTTGTTTTCTTGGCAGAAATACAGAACTGTGTTGACATCAATAAAATTAGTCAGTTCTTCCTTGGGAACGAATAGAAGCCAGGGAATCTGTTGTAATGACGGCTGAACAAGAACTTTGTACAAGCCTTTTGGCCACTTCATCATTGCGATAAGCACAAAAAGACCCCACTTCTCCCCTGAGAATTTCTCTAAAATCTCCTCAGAAAAAGGAGTTCCAAAGCAAATTTGGTGAAGGAGGTGTAGCAGAGAAGGAATGGAAACAAAATCAGGAACTGGTGTCCTTTGTGTTCCAAAGCACCAGAGGGCAGGACAAAAAACAATGAATGGAAACTAATCAAGGAGAGAAGCAACCTGGAATTAAGGAGAAACTTCCTAACAGTCAGGACAATTAACCAGTGGAACCGCTTTGCCTTTAGAAGTTGTGGATGCTTCAACACTGGACATTTTTAAGAAGAGATTGGACAACCACTTGTCTGAAGGGGTATAGGGTCTCCTGCTTGAGCAGGGGGTTGGACTAGAAGACCTCCAAGGTCCCTTCCAGCTCTAGTTTGAATTTGAATTTGAATTTTAAGGCAAGGCTTATCACAGCTTACTTGATTCACTAGGATGTCCCCTATCCTCTTGATGACAAAGTTCTTCTCACTTCGGTCAGCCAGGGATTCCTTTCTCCTCTCCAGAATTCTCTGAAAGAACTGGCTGTGGATGTTCAGCAAGTTGTCCAAGCAAGGAAAGATTTTCTCCACCATCTGCTGCTCATATTGTAGTTCCTGCACCATTCCTCTGCTGTAGACATCACTCATGATCTTCAAGGTCCGGACATGGTGCATCTCTGTCTGCATCAGTTCTGGAAAGAAGGAGCATGGAAGGGAGAATCAGAGAGATGCATAAGGCTCTGCCAATGCATGGGAAAACACGGTTACAGCTTTCCTTGGCTTTAATTTAGAGGTCAATAAGGCTTCCAGAGCTGGGTTATTCAAGAGGTGTATCATCTGTCTATCTACTATCTATCCATCTGTCATCTATCTATCTATCTATCTATCTATCTATCTATCTATCTATCCATCCATCCATCTAATTTTATGCTTTATTTAAACTAAATTTGTATATCAGTGATTGCATGATCTCTGTAAATACCATATGCTAAATAAATAAAGGTAAAATAAGAATACAGATGACATACCATAAAATAAAACAGCAGAGAACAGAATACAGGGTAGAAAAGTGGTTGTGTAAAACACTCAAAAGAGTTATTTTAAGAAAAAATAATTGTGGCAATGCTGGCAAAAAATCAGAACCCATTCATGTAAGTGGGATATGTCTGGAAGGTCAGTTCTATGTCCACTGGCCTGTTCCCAAATGTAAGAGAGAGAGAGAGAGAGAGAGAGAGAGAGGGAGGGAGGGAGGAAGGGAAGGGAGGGAGGGAGAGAGAGAGAGAGAGAGAGAGAGAGAGAGAGAGAGAGAGAGAGAGAGAGAGAGCGCCAAGATGTTGAGCAAGTTGCAATGACTTGGTTCATGAATAACTTTAAGCCATAAACCTTGCATTGCATAAACCACGACTGGCTTCAAGCACACGTTTATGCCAAATCAAACAAACCAAGCTATGGTGTGGCTAAAAATACAAATATGGCAAAGCAACCTGATTTTGCCTTTGTCTTGCTGAACTTAAAACCAGGAGATTGTAACTTGTCTGTCACTCACCATAAATGACATCTTGCCGCTTCACAATGTCTTTCTTCTGCTGTTTGAGAAACTTGCTGTCCACCACTTGACTCCAAGACTGAGCTTCCAGATGTTTCAAGTCTGTTTCAAAGTCTCCCATGAGTTGCCCTTCATTCATATCTGCCCCTGAAAAAAGGGAGAGGCGATCTGATTCTTGTGCCTAGGTTTAGCTTCCATATATGATACTTTAGTGCTAGTTAATGACCCAGAACTGGGAGCTTGTGAGAATGCTACAGTTTGCTAAGGCTACAACCTTCATGAAGTTACCATGTGGTTTAGGTTTCATCCGTAGCAAACCTAGGAATCTCTTTTCATACACCAGGAAGAATTTGGTCCATCCCCTGCAATCCCCCAGTGTTAAAACAGCAGCGACAACACAACTTGGTAAGGAATGCTGAGTAATTCCAGAATTACTGTGCAAATCTCCCAGAGTGAGCCATTAATGTAATTGCATTGTCATTAAGAGGTAATTTGTCTGCCTTTGTTTAACTTGGGTAAATTAACAGAATATCAGAAGAGGATTTTGATGAAGCTGGCACAATCAAGCCGTGGAAGCAATTTATACAACTGTCCTGGGGACAGACCTCAGAGGAATTGTTCCCTTGCTCTCCAAATCCCACATCCTGGACTTCAAAATATTTATCAGCTAGGAATTGAATGTATGTTTTCATGTGTTTGTTTTACTGTTCTGTATTTTATTTTCTATGCTAAAACAATAAACTTATTAAAAAATATTTATCAGCTTCCAAAGTTGCCCCTTCCAATACTTAAGCATTTCACTGGTCCCAGCCTGGCAGTTGAAATGAAAATTATTTAACATAAGATTCCCTCTATCTTATCAGTTTGCTATGCCCAAAGTATCCTTCTTGTAGGCTTACATGCTGCAGTCCGATTTACTTGCTCTGTAAGGAACTAGATCTAAACACTCTTTTATATACAGTGCAGAATGTAGCCGATGCATCCAATTTAGAGCAGTATTTGCTACCTGGGTTATTTCTGGGTATTGGTTTGTCCCATATTTTAGTTATATAGAAAAAGATCTACGGTACATCTCTTGGTGTAGAAAATTTAGTATGTGTGAAAGCATTCTTTTCTCTCCAGATATCCCTCAGCTTTTCTCCTACATTCAAGCCTGTTATTTTGCAACATGGTCACTTACCTTCATCTGTTAATGACTCCATGGATTCATTTACCCGGCTGATTTTATTCAAGGAGTCTGTTGATTGGGAGAGAAATTTCCGTGTGTGAAGGATACTTTCATCATTTCCGACACTGGCAGGACAAGAAATGGGGAAAAGAGGGTCACCTACTGAGAAGGTGGGGTGTCCACCCCAAGCCACATTCAACATCAAAAGGAGACACCATGTTATAATTGGGAAAATGGTATGATTACATAATTTGTGTCTGATGCATTAATGATATCTGGCACAACATTCTTTCTTTCTTTCTTCCTTCCTTCCTTCCTTCCTTCCTTCCTTCCTTCCTTCCTTTGTTCCTCCCTTCCTCCCTCATCTTTCTTTCTTTCTTTCTTTCTTTCATTCTCCCTCCCTCCCTCCCTCGTTTCTTTCTTTCTTTCTTTCTTTCTTTCTTTCTTCTTTCCTTCCTTTCTCTTTCTTCTTTCTTTCCTTCCTTCCTTTGTTCTTCCCTTCCTCCCTCATCTTTCTTCTTTCTTTCTTTCTTTCTTTCTTTCTTTCTTTCTTTCTTTCTTTCTTTCTTTCTTATTAATTTAGAAATTTGGATATTTTAAATTAAATCAATTGATACAGCCACCGATCTCACTAATGTGATTCTGGGCAGTTAACGTAAGATTAAAAAATGCAATGTAATGTCAATATAAAGATACATAGTCATATATGCATACAGATACATATATGATGAACCACGAGGAACACTGTGCCATTTGCGCAACGAACAAGAGGAAGGGGTCTTTCGAACATTGAGCAAGACCAATAACATCTCTTGCTCAAATCCTCTCATCCAAGATCTTTCAAGTGGAAAAGATAAACCCTGAATGTGGGATCTTCTTTCCACAGGCTTCACTTGTTCAATCTTCAGTATCACCAATCACACACGTGTTAAATGGAATCCCCCCACCTCCCAAAAGCAAGCCAGCAAACACACAAGGCCTTACCCAGCAATGTTCTGAATGGAAACACTCTTTGAAAGGGACAGGTTCTGCTGGGATCGCCTACTATTGAACACTGAAGTTGTAATGTTCTCATCAGGAGCAAGAATCGCTGATCTGGGCCTCTCTTTTGGCTGAGAACCTGCAGGGAAAACACCGACAGATACAGTGGTCAGATTCAATTTGGAATATCGCCATCAACGCTGGCGCCAGCCAGAGCATAGCACAACTCAGAGAAGTAGGGCAAGATTGGAAGATGTGGAGAGACTTGGCCTATGGAATCACCAAAAGTCAAGACACGACAGAATGGATAACATCTTTATCGTCATCATTTGGAGTTTGTTTGAAAAGTCAGGATTTGTTTTCTTAAGTAACAAACATGCCTGTTTTTCCCCAGTTGTTTTGAAATATCTGAATTTAACAGAGCATGATTATAAAAACTAGCTGGGTACAGAACAAAATTGCAAGGTTTGGGAAACTTGCTTCAAGAAATTAAAAAATAGATACTCACTCTTATTTCTCATAATTACTGTGGGCAATGAAGAAGTATCATGAGGCTGAAGACCGCTTGGATTTTTTTGGAGCTGAAGTAAAAATAAAGATTAGAATAATATTGTTATAATATAAATTCCATTTACACATCATGCTAAGCTAAGATTTCAGAGTGGTTTGGCTGGGTTTATATAACAAATTAAGATATCAACCACCATGGTTTATGAATCACAATGAGTGTTTCATGCCACAAACATCAAGATAAAGCCTATAAGACTCATGTATGAGAATTCAAAACATGCATATCGAGTATTTTGTATCTCAATCCCACTTAGAAGAAAAATCCTTTGAAATAGTTGAGGGAACAAAGAATTGAAGCCCTCACACAATCGTACAATCTCTATACAGATAAGAAATTGTTTTAAATGGCCCATACTAGGAATTTCAGGTGGTTGTTAAATGCATCTCCTATGTGGACTCCAAAATACTACAGTTCTTCAAGAGTGTTTTGTTCTCCGGATATAGAATACAACATCAGATTTACTGATACTAGCAAATCAAGCTTACGACAGATTTATTGCAAATAAATCATGGGCAGTTCCGGTAACTGGTTGCAACAGAGGGAGCGAGTAAAGAGCTCAGAGGCACAAATGAAATAAATGAAAATAAATTTATGTATCTTCCTTCTCCTCCTTGCGCCATAATCACAATGAACCACACAGCAGTTATGAAGTGGATTTGGATAGAATGGTATCACAAATAAAATAGCAATAATAGGATTATTATTGCATCCTGAGATGGAATAAGATACAGGATTCCTGACACTAACCTTGAACTATTAGAAGTCCTAGTCACAGTGAAACAGAAGCTTGCTTGTTTTTTTTTTTTCCCTGCAACCAAGAAGGCTAGAAATTTATTTTAAAGAAAACAACAACAAGCTGGTGATATTTCAGAGCCCTAATGAGCCTTAAAATTAGAGGGGCTTTTTCCCCTTGCCAATTTACAATCCCATATTTTCAGATATACACACAGATCTATGCATGTGAATATATTGGGAAAAAAAACCCAGAAGAATACTTACTTTCATTTTGACCTTGGCACAAGCAGCCACACTCTCTTTGCAGCCTTTATGGACCATGGCACTACAATCTGGGGGAAACAAAGAGCACACCTTTAGTGTGTAGCTAATGAGAAAGTCAGCCATTACGCAGGGTTCATATTCCCATTCAGTGCATCTCATCATTCATAACTGCAACCTCCTCTGACGGAAATAGTGATAAAGACAGCTTCTACAACTTGCTTTTTCCCCCAGACTATCTATCTATCTATCTATCTATCTATCTATCTATCTATCTATCTATCTATCTATCTATCTATCTATCTGATTCCTGCAGCCGCCCATCTCAGCCAATGACTCTGGCCAATGCACAGTTCAAAAAATATTTCATTTACTTATTCAATTTACTGGCCTCCCATCTTACCGCAAGGTAATTGTACTGTAATAATATATTACAATTAAAATGCTAAAACATTTCAAAACAATAAAAAAAACCAACAGAAACATCCAAACTAAATACACTTCGCAGTTGAGACGTTTAGCCAGATAGCAATATATCCAGGAAACTGGGTCCTTGACATATTCAGCCCGCCAGGCATGGGAACACAGTCAGGTTTTCAGGGACTTATTAAAGACTAACTGGGTTGGGGCCATTCTAATCTCCTAAGGCAGGGGGAGGCAACCTTGGCTTTTTTTGACTCGTGGACTTCAAACTCCCAGAATTCCTGAGCTGGCCGTGTTGAGGGGAAAGGGAGAGGTTTCCAAACTAGTGGCAACATCAACATTATCAACAACAACCACAACAACAACAACGATGATGATGATGATGATGATGATGTCAAGTGTATTTTACTAGACCATGAATGAAAGTATAAAAACATTTATCAGAAATATCTTCTATTAGCCATTCATTCTGGTGTGCAAAGCAGAAAAAAATAGTCACTCACTTGCACAGACAAGTGAATCCTTGTTGAAGGGCTTGAGACAGTGGTAACAACTGATGGGGCCCACAGTTGAGATGGCACTGAAGAGATGGCCATTTAGTATCTTGTTATCTTTGTCTTTTTCCTTGGCGTCTTTGTCCCGTTCCTTCAATTTCTCTTTATCTTTCTCTTTCTCCTAAAAAAGAAGAAGAAGAAGTGGAAGGAGGACATCAGTAACATAAAATGCTCTATCTACATATCTACCTACCATCTATCTATCTATCTATCTATCTATCTATCTATCTATCTATCTATTAAAAACCACATTCCTTCATGTGCAAGGTAGAATGTATTCAAGGACAACATCATCAAGAAATGAGTTCCACGTGCCAAAGACGCAGGCAGCTATCCTCCACCTTAACGTTTCCCCAAGTCAACGGTGAGTCATTGGCTGCAGACACCTAGGGCAACGCTCACATAGCTTTGAATTAGTCCTCGTGACCTAGGCCATCAATAGATAGGAACATCATAAATTATCCTGAGTCAGAACTGTAGCTCAGAATTATGTGGCAGCAGATATCCAGGTTTTCAGGCGGGAACTTTCCCAACCTTTGGGAAATAACTGCGCATTCAAACCATGTGTTCCATCACCAAACATCTTTGTGTATTTCCAGAAGAGATTATTCTACTCTGGTCTGAGAACTGGGCTCTATAGCCATGTGGGTTAAACTTTTGAGGTTAAGAGTCAGGAAGAAGAAAGCCTTATCTGGACTTTCCTCCTGCCTACACTTGAAAGTATAGCATCCGAGGCAAAATAGCTCCCCAAATTCCTCTAAATTACTCTTTCAAACAAGAAAGTAAAAAAACAAAAAAAACAAAAACTATCTTCCTTATTTAAAAGAAGCTTACTGCAAAGAAAGTTTCCTAAAGAGAATGAAATAGTGTGATAATACAGGTAGCCCTAGACCAGGGGTAGGCAACCTTGGCTCTTTTATGACTCGTGGCTCAGGAATTCTGGGAGTTGAAGTCCACAAGTCATAAAAGAGCCAAAGTTCCTACCCCTCTCCTAGACTTACGATCACAATTTCTTTTGCTAAGTGGGATAGTGGTTAAACGAATTTTGCCCCATTTCGCAACCTTTCTTGCCACAGTTGTTAAGTGAATCGCTGCAGTTGTGAAGTTAGTCACACGGTTGTTAACCGAATCTGGCTTCCCCCCCCTTGACTTTGCTTGTCAGAAGGTCGCAAAAGGGGATCACGTGACCCTGGGACACTGCAACGGTCATAAATACATGCCAGTTGCCAAGCCTCTGAGTTTTTGATCATGTCACCGTGGGCACGCTGCAACGGTCGTAAAGTGTGAAAAATGATCATCTGTCACTTTTTCCAGTGCCGTTGTACCGTTGGACGGTCACTAAAGTGGCTGGGTCAAGGAGGAATTGCTAGTAAACTGATTCAAAATAAGTAGTTCATTGCAACGTTCAATTATGCAACCACTCCCTTGAAAACAGCAGTCAGACAGTTAATGTCAGGATGGTTGGAGATGGCAAGAGTAGAAAGAAGATGGGGATGACAGCTGTTGCAATTCTGCTCACGAGGAAAGGCTCTGAGTCCCCTGGGTAATACATGCAAATACAAGTACAGTATGTATTTGGTATGTAGGAGCTCTCTCTCTCTCTCTCTCTCTCTCTCTCTCTCTCTGTCAGACAAGGGCTTTCAGAGGCTGAGCACATATCTATAGCTTTGACTGTAGCCCCTCAGGGCAGTCTTATTGGCTTTTATGGTATGCATTTAAAATGAAAAAAACAAAACAAAACCCACTGGGTAGTCACCAGTGTTGCAACTGACCAGTCTACAGCTGCAATGTTTCTTTGAAGTGTGCTTAGCAAGAAAAAAAACCTTATGAAATTTCATGGGCTTCATTTCAAGTCCACATAAGCCTGGCTTGGGCTGCTTTAACATCTACTCTATTTTCACTCTTGCACACAATTTCCTTCCCCCACCCCTAGCATTCCCAGTCTCCTGCCTCCAAAGCCATAGTTACTCAGAAGAACAACCCAAGCAGACAGTAAGTGAGGATAGCTGGTTGGTAGCAGTAAAACCTGAGAATGGCTGGAAATAACTTAGTGGGGCAGGTTAGAATCTGGCACGGTTTCTTAGCTAGCAACCACTGAAACTCACAGCCCTACCAATTACGCGAGAGTCCTTCAACAGAGGCTTGGCTGAATGAAGACCATCTTCTCTAGAAATGACATGGTCGAAGCAGTAGTTTGATAGAGAATACTCAGTAAGAGAGATATTCAAAGGACAAACAATTTATATCTCAAAAATAGAACTTGTTTCTCCCTCTTAAAAGCTGTCTTTGAGACTACGGGGAAGATCGTTCTTCATAATCTTTGAGACTTTGAGAAACATTTGCCTCAGCGTCATCCTTCAGAGAAAAAGTTATGCCCACAGATAGACACCTAACGTGTAGTTGCCTTCCATACAATGAAATTCAGCCCAGTAAAATCAACGTAATATTGAAAACAGCTCAGTACTCATGGTTTTTTTTTTATTGTCATTAGCAGTTTTTGACGAATCGGGACCTAAAACTCATACAACTTAGAGCAACACATTTCATCTAGTGAGACTTTACACACGCTTGAGAAAACAGTCAACGGCCCAATGGTTTCCAAATTAATATGCACAGCTTGGTGACTCAAGCACAAAACAGAACGCCTTTTTTAAGAAAAAAAAAAGAAAGAAAAAAGAAAAACGTCAGCCGTGAATTTAATTGCTTCATACACAGTTCTAAGTCATTGACCTGTTGACTAACCTACAACTGGCAGGATTGTCACATATTGCTATGTCCTGAACCATGGCTAATATCACTGTCAATCCCTGGGTTCACACAACGTCTTGAACTGAAACATTACAATTTAGTATTTGCATGCCTAATGTAGAAAGTTTGATTCCTTGGTCCCTGTCAAGCTCCCTGTCTTTTCTAATATTATTTCTTTCCTTCTTTTATTATTTCTTTTATTTACTTCATTTTTATTAAAAGCAATGAATAGGAAGTCAGAATGCCACAAGACAAAGTCCTAGTCTTAACGAAGCACTTAGCAACAGACTTATATACCGCTTCACAGTGCTTTTCAACCCTCAGCAGTTTACAGGGTCAACCTCTTGCCCCCAACAATCTGGGTCCTCATTTTACTGACCTTGGAAGGATGGAAGGCTGAGTCAACTTTGAGCAGGTCAGGATCGAACTCCTGGCAGTGGGGAAGAGTTAGCTTGCAGTATTGCACTCTAACCATTGCATCACCATGGGTCTTACAGCATGGCCTGTATTTCCAACTCTGGGACTCACAATGATCATGTCATACTCAGACAGCTTAGAAAATCACAACAAAAAATAACCACAATATAGGTAGCTGAGAAAGTCCTGGAAAAAAAAGTAAAAAAAAAGCCCTAATATTCTAATAATTCCGTAAGAGGTCTACCCCCATTCAACAGAAGATCCAAGTTTTAAGTGATCATAGTTCAAGGTGGAAGCCATGTGAATATCAGAGAGCAAGAAGACCCACCAGATCCTGGGTGCCACCAGATAAGAGTTCAATGGATGTGACCTGGAACACTAGCATGAAAAATAAAATGGTGGACATCTGACACCTCATTTGCCATCTGAGGTAATTTGCAATTGGCCTCTGATGACAAACATACCATATTCTCAACAATCCAGGGATAAATCAACTTTCCAGGCTAATCATCATTCCCAGGCCCAGAGATGATCTTCAGAAATACTGTTTAGGTTACACAGTATGTCCTCCAGTTTTTGCTTTTCTCCATTTCATTTCTTTCAATTCTTAAATTGGATTGGCCCTGTTCTTCTTGGGCATTTCTTTTCCGTAAAGTGGCATGAAAATATTTTTACGCACAATTCCTCTGAACCAAACCTTTTTGCATATCACTTTACCCCAGAAATGTGCCACTGCAGGCAGCCTTCCCTTAAAATAGTGCATTTTTGTACCTCACGTTCACTAAGGTGCATATTTTAATGCACAATTAATGCTCGTGGTTGAAATGAGGTTGAAATGAAATGATGTTTCTTTAGTTGAACAAAATCATCATGTTTTGGAATGGTGTGCATTTGCACACACTGAGAAGCACAAAAGGTTCTAAGACTGTCATCAAACGGGAAATGTATTCCATTTCTCCTTCACCATCTTCTAAGGTGAGGAAGGAGAACGTCCTCTTCAAAAATGTCCCCCCACTTATGAAACTTGTGCTCCACCTGTTTCTCCCTTCCCTTTAAAACTTTTATATATTTTTAGCTTTTTTTACCAGGGAGGTCAGGGGCCTGAGTGTGTCCCATCTCCAGGTTGTGTTAACAACCATTGGCTGTGATATTTTTCTCAGCTGCTGTGTATTTTAACTTGTTTTCCATTTATTTTAAGATTGCTCGCAACCCAGAATCACTTGCTGAGATGGGCAGCCATATAAACGGAATAAAGCAAGCAAAGCCATCTCTCATGGACAAAGCGGGAAAAACATGAGTCAGAATTCTCTTTTACTTTACTTCAAATATCTGCATTAGACTAGGATTCTAGTTATTTCTATCTTTTGACAATCCTTTCTATGCTCTTTGATTGTTTTCACTGTTTTCAAAATGTTATCTTTGTCAACCGCTTAAAGATCTGATAAACAGATGACTTAAACATCTAATAAATAAGAACACTCATCAATGCAGTTTAACAAGAAGAGAAGGTTTATTAATATAAGGAGATTTGTGTGCTCTGAGAATGCAAAGCATATTAAATCTATTGCTTCCTTTTGATGTCTACATGCATAAAAATATGTGGCTGCTTCATTTGACTCTCACTCAAGAAAACAGAGTTCACTCAACAAGTTATTTCTAGTTCTTTAGCCGTCCTCCTGCCAGTGAAATGAATTTACTACTGACATTTGAAGAAAATGTCCTGTTTTGAAGAAAAACACCGTCTAATTGTTTTGATTTGATTCGTTTGACTAGAAAGACAGAGAGCTAGCCTAAGCAGATCGAGTCAGAAAACAGGAAATGGTATTTTCACGGATGCGAAAAGTACAAACAACTATAAAGGCTGAAAAAAAAAAAAACCACAGGACTATAATAATTTGGACGAACCACAATTTGTTATACATAAGAAATATACAGAAATTAATCTTCTCCAAACTGAGAAAAGTAGCATAGCAGCATATGCCAAGCTGGAATGAAAAACAAGGATGGGAGCTAGTCTAGCTTAAACTTCTCACCAACATCTGAACACCAACTGATGCAATCCAGACTAATCAGCCAGGCCTTTCCTGACCACCACTGCGCTGTCCCCACTAATCTTCACTGCCCAAGCCAAGATAGAAGTTTACCTCTGAGTGGAACCGTCCGATCAGTTTCACAGTTATATGGGGCACGTCAGAAAATCGATGCCATTTGAGGGACATGCTGACCAACCTCAGTCAGTCCGTGCAAGGGAATCTGTCCAACACCTATCCATCCATCACATTAGAGATAAAACAAACCCCAAGCACCGATCCTGTTCAGCTGCTCAGTCTGCTGTCATAAAAGGAAGTCAGAAACAAGTTGAGCAAGAGAGAAGGCAGAGGGGAGGGGGAAAGGAAGAGCTGCTTCTTCTGAGCTTCCTCAAAGAATACATTAACCCTTCAGGCACTGGAAATTCAAAGCTGAAGCTCTCTTGGGATACTGACGTGACCCAAAAGACTTAGGGACACTTGGGAAGCAACACATGGAGAGGCTGAATATTTCTCTCTCTCTCTCTCTCTGCTAATTGGCATTTCCAAGAGTCGAATGCTAAAGCAGAAGAGATGGTTCATATGCTTGTCTTCCAGGAGATACAGATTCATTTATAAGACTTAAACAGCTGTGTTTTTAAGGCGGCAGAAGTACTAACAGGGTTAGAAACTTCCTGTTTTGCTTCCTCTTTCAAGATTTTTTTTCTTTTTTTTTTTTTGGCGATCTCTTTTAAACAAAAATGGAAAAAAAGAGAAGAGGAGGAAAGTTAAATACTCTTCCATACGTCTGATTCTGGGCGTTGAAGTCCATGAGTCATAAAAGGGCCGAGTTTGAAGACCCCTGGCTAAATCCATCTCAAGAGCACTGTTGTCCAATGGCTAAGCGATCTACATATCCTGTCATAGCTTAGCCACTCTAGTAACTGCTCATGCATAATTTAATTTTATTCATCATTTTATTCATCACTTGTACATCTTTAAATTAATTCACTGTATTGGTGTTTTATATTTTGGTACACATTTTATATGCTGATTTTTGTAAATTCTATGACTAATGCTGTATTCTGTTATGCCATATGAAATAAATAAATAAATATGTGGATATTGTTTATGTCTATGTATCTTATATTATACTATATATTATATTATGGGGCCCAAGACAATTCATCTTCGTTCCATGCAGTCCATGGAAGCCAAAAGGTGGGTAGACATCCATAGTCTACATCACCGGGTTCTCAACGTTTGTGTGACGGCGACCCCGTCACACAAACGTTCTGCGCATGCACGGTGCGCCCCCATGCGCAGCAGCGCCCCCATGCGCAGCGGCGCCCCCATGCGCAGTGCGCATGCGCGGCGGCGCCCCATACGCGGCGTGCGTGCGCGGCAGCACCCCCATGCGTGGTGCGCATGCGCGGCGGCACCCCCTGAGGGGAGAAAATGGCGGATCGCCTTCTTTAGCGACCCCCCAAAAATGGTCAATCGACCCCAAATGGGGTCACGACCCATAGGTTGAGAACCGCTGGTCTACATCTTTCTCTTCATCCTTGAAGTGGTTGAAAAGTAATGTCGTCAGAGAAGAAAACTGAAAGAAGACTGTTTTTAACTGTACATCTAAAAGACTGTATTTGTTCTGGTTTACTGAATGTTCTCTCCAAAGAAATAATCTACCCAAATCAAGAAAAATGAGAGCTGCATAGGAATAGATGCTTTGAAATGGAGAAAATTGCTATTCCAGCAATTTGATCTATCCACAGACAGAGGAACTTCAAAACACTCATAAAATTTAAATGGGTGCCCACAAGCAGTGAGTTTCCCTTGCACAATTGTCAAGCTGTGTTGTAACCATACAAAAAGAAAAAAAAAACGATAGTACATCAAAACAGATTTCTTCAAAACTGGTGTTCCACAATGACATGTAAGTCCACCAAGTTAAGGAACCATCTGACTGCATTAAAGATTTGATGGAGTGGAATTTTACTGGGAGCTGCCCAGGGTTGTCTGAAGCACAGGTGGCTATATAGAAATCTTAAAGATATATAAAAATAACCAAAATAAAATATTTTCCCATTAAGAAAATTTAGTCCAGCCCCCTGCTCAAGCAGGAGAAGCTATACCACTTCTGACAAGTGACTGTCAAGTCTCTTCTTCAAAACCCCTAGTGATGGAGTCGGATGGTAGAACCCATGCTTGCATTAGATCTCACAGCATGTTCTGAACTTGATATAAAAAAAGACAGAATACAGGTAATAAAAAGACTTTCATGAGCAAAATATTATTTGCGTATATTGGCATTAGAAGATGACAGTTATCAACATTGTGGTGGCTTCTAAATCTCACTTTGGGAGTATTTCAAAATGGTAATGGCCTAGAAAGTTTTCACTGGCTAAGGACCAAGAATTTTAATGGATTTATCTTTTATAAACTTGGTTGGATGTTGAGATTTTCTAGGTCTTTTTCTTTCTCTAGCTAATACCTGATGTAACAATTTGCTATAATTTGCAGGGAATGATGGTCAGACTCTAGAACAAGAGATTCATCTAGGTTTCCATTTTATGCACGTCTAACATCAGACAATAATCCCGTTTAAATCAGCCTGGCTTCTTTAATGGCAAAGCACAGACACTTAGCTTTCACTGAATGAAGTTTTAAGTAGGTAACATTTTTAAATCCATTTATCTGATTCTTAAAAAATTGCTTGTATGCGCGTAGGTTAATGCTGTTGTAGCCATTCCGGATATTTTTGAGGGATAGTCTAGGGAGAACTAGAGCTAATTAATAGAAGGTTTAAAAGTATAAGCCAATTTCCTTTAAAATTGTCTGAAAACAAAACAAAAAGAGAGAGGAGGTATGATAACACAATTTTTTTTAACCACGTTCCCTATTTCTCAGTCACGTTTCATTAGCATAAAGTCATAGCTGCAGTTGGAAGGAAAATTATTTTTTATCCTAGTTATTTTTACACAAGAATCTCTTCCTTTCCTGGATGGTCATCTCCTTACCCATGGGTTTAAACAAGGATGGGTTTGAGAATCACCAAGGCAGGCATAATGACAACATTCCTGATCCTCAAAGCACCCATCTGGAAAGCAAAACCCCCGACTCTACTTACTTTGCTCTTCTTATTGCTGGACATTTTATTCCTGAGGTAGCTGAACGTACGGCTGACTTTCGTTCCACTTTTAACTTCCAAATCTTTTCTGGAGGGACTTGGGGGTGGAAAACTGCCACTCTCCTCGCTGATGCTAAAAGCCAAGAGATGAAACCTTTCAGGCAATGCACAAGAACAGGGCGCTCACCCGATTCAAGTGGGAGACACAGCACTTTCATTTGAACCTGCCTTGGCTGCAGTTAAGGATATAGAGACCATTTCAAAGAGAAAAGATCAAATTTTGCTTCAATTCAAAATGTCCCCCCCCCAAAAAAAAAGGTAGTTTCAGTCCCTGTATTCTCAAGAAACCCTCTACTGAATTGAAATTTTGAATGTATCATAGGAAGGAATTAATGGTGTAGGGTTTCCTGCCTGAGCAGGGGGTTGGACTCGATGACCTCCCAGGTCCCTTTCAACTTTATTATTATTATTATTATTATTATTATTATGGATCATCGCACAGTCAGCCAGATGTTCAGACTGGATTTGGCATTTTGTCTACCTATCGAGTCCTTACCCAGGACCTGGGATAGGCAGATGTGGATGTTTGATGGTATTACAGGTATCGTCACAGGATGGAAGCAGTTCCTAGTAAGGCCGCCTTTTGCAATTGACTAATAGCGAATTTGTCAATGCCAATGGTGTTCAAGTGGTGCTCCAGTTATTTTGGGATTGCACCCAAGGAGCCTATTACTATTGGTACTACCCTTGCTTGCTTTTGCCACAGTCTTTCTATTTCTATTTGTAGGTCTTTGTATTTTGTTATCTATTATTATTATTATTATTATTATTATTTAGTTTTAAGTACAATTAAGTCATGTCAAAGCCATTTTACCCAATTTTCATCATATAGTCTCTCACATGCCTCTTAAAGACTGAAAGTGGCCCTTGATCGATCAATCAATCAATTCCTTTTGTGAACAGTTCCAGTCTTGATTGCACAACAATACTTCCTTTTCTACATAAAGAGCTTTTAGACCTTTATCAGCCCAAGACCAGTAAATTTGATAAGTTAAGCTTTTTAACTATAATTCAAAGATATAAGCGGATTTGATCGTTCAATCAGTTGATAACTGGGCCAAATCTTTTTTTTACAGTAAAATCAACCTTAAAAAAAAAAACCGTCACCACCAATAGTCCTCTTTGTTTAAATTCTTGCTGAATTCAAGAAAAGAACAAACTATATTTAGAGTATGTTTAAGAGATTGATAAAAAGTTCACCTTTGAGTCAGGGAGCTGCTGAAGGATCGGGTACCTATGAAAATACATGGAGAAAGAATTACAGTTAAAAAAAACCCAAATCCAAACATATATGTATGTAATTTTATTAAAACATATCTTCTAGTTTGACAGGATGGAGAAAATATCACTAGTGGCAGATAATATTTGATTCTGAATTCATCCAACACACGTTAGCAGGAGAATAGTTGATATCTAAAAGGCCATACTCTTTATTAAGATTATAAATGAGCAATTATGTTGATTTTGTCTCTTTTTATGAAGAAAGTTATTTTGAGAACCAGCTGATGGGACCAAAGCCACATCTAGAGTCATACTTCAGAGTCTTCCCAAATTGGTGTTTCTCTGGTCATTTCAGGCAATCCATGAAAAAGAACAGGTACAAACATGGTTGAAAATCTAAATAGTTTTTCTTTCACATTTCCCAGCAAAAATAGATTTGAGAAAGCTGTCAAATAGGAACAAGCATGCATTACACCCTCTCACTTGAATTAGCAGCTGGGAGATTTATGATAATCACTGGGGTCGATCTGCAAGCTGAAGCCAGCAATGCTCAGGACTTAAGTGTGTAGGATCGTCTTGTCAGTTTTATACCCATATTGAGATCTTTACAAAGGACAAAAGAAACATGTTCTAAGACAGGGGTCTTCAAACTTGGCCCTTTTATGACTTGTGGACTTCAACTCCCAGAATTCCTCAGCCAGGAGGAATTCTGGGAGTTGAAGTCCACAGGTCAAAAGGGCCAAGTTTGAAGACCCCTGGTCTAAGGCGTTGCTTTAGTTACTTTCTAGTAAGAAATTCAGCCTAAAGGATTCATGTGGCCCTTTTAAGCTGTCTGAATCTAAACAGAGGTTTCCTAGTGTAGATGTTCAAGTAACATATTTACATTGTGATGCATATAGAGAGACAATCCACAGTACTATCTACCTCCCTTTGAAATTAATGTACTATTTGCTTAAAAGGTCTAGGTTAATGTTCATGATGTACCATACAATTGAAATTTCTGTCCTTCAAATTATATCATATTCGAACAATTTTCAAACAATCGCCCAATGACAAATCCCTCACTACTTCATGTGACATAATCTAAGGGTTAAGTTGGTCTATAGCAAAATTTAACATTTTTGAACCCAAGCATGTATGTAGAATCACGTCAGTGTGGAGCCCAAGAGGGATTTCCTGCGTGCAAATAAATAAATAAAATATGATACAGCAAACCTGTGACAGCAACATTGATTCCTATGCATTGGTTCTACGCCATAGCATCCCTTACTGACCCATGGGCCCCGTGAACAAAAGGAGTCTTAGAGAAACTTGTAGGCCAAATTCATCAATAGGAAAGTAAGCTGAAAAGCCATTTTTGCTAGAACCTGCAAGCATCAGTCAAACGAAGAAGACAAGACATCCAGCCAAGACCTGGCCACTAGCATTTGCGTTCAACAAAGTCATGCGAGATTCTGAGCTTCTCCACGGAGCGGTAAGCGACGCCAGCATCATTTTGCCCAAACAAGATTACTTACTCTCCAAGTTCTCCTCCTCATCGCTGGAAGAAGAGTCAATAGAAAAGACAGTTTTAGACTTAGGAATGAGCGGGGAGATGCTGAAGGAGAAGAAAACTCGTCTAGATGGCTGAATCCGTCCCTGTGCTGAAAAGTGGGTTAATGGCAGAGGTTAGAGCATGCGGATTCGACACCAACAACAGACAATAACAAAGAAAAAAGGAAGAACGGTCACAGCGAGCCAAAGAAGAAAGCAAAAGGCGTATTTACAAAGCAAAGGGCTACAGCAGCAAAAGCAGGAAAGCATTTTTTTAAAGGGGGGGAGGGAAGAAAAAGAAAATGGGGGTGTCATTGTATGCAAAAACCGCACACTGAATTTTGACAGTTTCCCACAAGGCTTCCATCATTACTACACTGTAAATTGGAGATGCCTCTCTTTAGTAATCTAGTAGTAGCCTAAAAACAGCCTCTGACCATACCATAGCCCTTCTCATCAGTTCAAGTAGATACCCTAACACAGGGGTCCCCAACCCCCGGTCCATGGACCAGTACTGGGCTACGGCATGCCAGCAACTGGTCTGCACAAACAAGCAAAGCCCCTACTGCAAGATGCAGGCAGCACACAAAACTACGCACCCTCCGGTCCACGGAAAAACCTCTTTCCAAGGAACCAGTTCCTAGTGCCCAAAAGGTTGGGAACCTCTGCCCTAACAGGCCTATGTGTTGCCGAAAGTGAATATGCAAGAGGGACATCATCCAGTCACGTCTATGAGAAAACCTTTCAACCTGAACTCCCATTGAGTGTTCCCCTTCATCAAGATGCCATTGCTGGACCCTACCATCCTGGATAATTTTCATGCAGTCTCCAATCTCCCCTCTTTATGGAAAGTTGAGAAGATGGTTGGGTTGCAGTTGGAGAGAATCCTGGAGGAAGTGGATTATTTGGGTCCTCTTCAGTTAAGACTGAAGATTAGGACAACTTTGATTGGATTTTCAGATGTCTTTTGGCGGGCCTGGAATCAGGAAAGTGCCTTCCTTAAATTTCTCAGTGGATTTCTATTCAGCTGACCACAATAATCTTCTGGGTTATGTAATGTAATTGGCAGATGGTGCTTTTTCTCCTTTCTCTACAGCTAGTTCCAGCCAGTATTGGTCAGGAAGGATAGATGAAGCCAAAAAGACCCAGATTTGTGGGACATCTTCAGGGCTTAACTTTCTCTCCTCTCCACTGTCTCCCTGGTGATCTGCACAGTGCCCACCTTGTTTTTTTTGAAGCTGGATTGTCCCATAAGATCTAAGGTTAGGTAAATCTACAGGCTTCAGGAGTTGCGAGGAATTTGAGGGTGGAAAGATAGTCCCTTAATGGATGCTACTTTTATTCCTCGAGTTGTTTTGCCTTTATGGATATATATATATATATATTAAAAAAATTGAAAGTTGCTTGCATCATCTAGATCATGACAATCTATAACTAATTCCTGGCTGGCTCAGGAATTCTGGGAGTTGAAGTCCACGAGTCATAAAAGAGCCATGGTTGCCTACCCCTGATATAGAGTTTGCTGCCCGAGCAGGCAGTTGAACGAGAAGACCTCTAAGGTCCCTTCCAACTTTGTTATCCTTCTTAAAGTCTGAAGAATAATTTTAGAATATTTTAAGTGTTGCAATAGAGACAAGTGCCAAAGCCAAATAATGATGAAACAGCTGCAAGAACAGAAACATTTGAGGGATCTCTTGTGTACTGGAGCATGACCAAAAGGTCTGGGTAGAGGTCAGCAAATTTTCTACGACTTTGAAGCAATTTTGCTACAAGCAACCAGAAGTCAAAAGGTGAAAAAGGAAGGAAGAAAGAAAAGCCAAACCAATCTCAAGTAAGCAATCAATATGAAGTGTACAGAGGGGAAAGCTTCTCAGTAAGCTACATCAAGACAAGACTTGATTCCTACAACAGTATTTCTCAAACTCTGAAACAGCAGGAACTCACTTTTACATGTGCCACCAAGAGTGAGTCAGGCTGCCATATAAATTTTCTTAAATAAATAAATATGTCCCAGATGGGAGGCCCCATTATTTCTGTGGGACTTCCCAGCAAACTGGATTCTGCTTACACTTTTACACTTATACTGCCTTTACTCCTCTTAAAAGAGTCGAATTTAAATTCCTAGTGGGTGTATTCCAGATAGCGCCTTGCATTCCTAAATGTAGCATTAAGAAGGGAGGCAAGGCTATCTAAAGTTGAAATAGGTGAATGGTGATATTACAAATTAGAGATTATGGATGATGGCTTTATTCATAGAATAACTGTCTTGGTGATTGTAAGCAGTCCCAAAGCCACATTTATCAGAAGTTCAACACGCTCTCCGACCTCCCTGCCCCTCAGGATTCTTTGTGTGAGCCCCAGGTTGTACTGGTCCTTTTTTTCTGAAAAAAGAAGCTCATTGCCAAATAAAACTTTGGACAGAGACATTCACCATGTTTATTTTTCTAAGAACAACTATAATATCAATGTGGGCTTCAAAGGCAATCTTGCAAGTAAAGACCATGCTATAGCTATTATAACAGAATTGGAAGGGACCTTGGAGGTCTTCTAGACCAACCCCCTGCTTAGGCAGGAAACCCTATACCATTTCAGACAAATGGTTGTTCAATTTCTTCTTAAAAACCTCCAGTGTCGGAGCATCCCTCAACTTCATTTTATTTTATTTCTTATTTTATTTTATATGGTACAATCTTTCAGTTTAGTTTCAAAAATAAACGACCAAATCTTAAAGTCAGCTGAGGACAGCTGAGGAAAGCATAGCATGAACAAAGGGAAAACTTCTGGGGAAACTGATAACTACAAATACCATTGTATTCTATTTCTGGTCTAGACCAATTGTCCTATTCACCTAAATGTATCCTGAGTTTAATCGGAAGAGAAGCACACAGTGCCTCTGGTGGCTTTAGCCATATCTTTAAGCATTTAGAGGCCAGGCTAAAGTATTCTTACTTACTAAACATTTTTTTTAAAATCCTATATAACTCTGCATAGTTTGGCCAAATTGATACCTTTTAGGATGCAAAATATTTCTGTTTCCCTGTAGTATTATCTGCAGAGCTCATGTGCCACTGTGGCACCTGATCATATTAAAAAAAAAAAATCAGCAACGCTTTAAAGAAACAAAGATATCATATTAAATTTAAGGCATGGTGATGGACAGATTGACTATGAGATAGAAAGAAAAAGAAGAAACAGAATATTACCAAACTTGGGACTTATTCTATCAATGGCTAGAGGAAAGAATGAAGGATTAGAAATTAAATATGTATTAGCGTTTTCAAACTCAAACAGGACGTTGGTTGAAAAATTATTATATGTATGTAAGAAAATAATCAATAAAATCTTATAAAAAATAAACTTTAAGGCATGGAATAGCTGAGGGTAATTAGGGGTAGGTATCAGCTATAAAAAAAAAAACCCTACAGCCCTTTGAGTCTCTGATTAAGTTGCATAGCAAATTATCAAAATATTAAACTGCATCTTTCATCTGCATGACACCGCTTTGAGACTCCATTTGTTTCCTTGCTAATAAATTGAGCTGCAGTAGCTAAAAGGGAGGTCCTTTTGGAAAGGAGTGCAAATTGAAGGAAAGAGTTTTCCTATAATTAAGAGAAAATAATCCCTTTCTCAAAGAAAGCTGGTTTTCTTTGCCACTTTGGGGAAAAAAACCAGAGAATGCCAACTGGTCCTTTGCTGCGTACGTGAGCCCATCCTGTGTGCAGTTGTGCCCTTAATGAGGGCCTTCAGCAGAAGGAAGAAAATTGGTACGTTCTGGTCACAGAAAATGAAGTGGATGGACAAGTGTTTTGGTTACTATTGCTAAGGGAGAAGGAAAAACGAGTCAACATCCTTATGAGTCACGAGTCTTGAGAAGCTAAGCCAGATCTTCCAAAAAGGTTTGCTTGTTAGACAAGACTTTCTCAATGGCAAACTCCCAAACCAAGAGGCTTCTCTCCAAGAGAGAGAGAGAGAGAGAGAGAGAGAGAGAGAGAGGAAAAAAAAAACACCAATGCTTTTCTTATATCTGCAAAATGCTTTGGGGTTCTCCACCTTTATGGCAAAAGTGAAATGTGCATAAAATGAAATGTGGACTAGATAGCAAATATTCCAGGGTTTGAGAGGCTGCAACAAAGAGGAGGGGTTCAAGATTTTCCAAAACACCAGAAGGCAAAGAAAAAAGAAAAAGAAACAATGGATGGAAACTAATCAAGGAGAGAAGAAATCTAGAAATAAGGAGAAACTTCCTTACAGTGAGGACATATAACCAGTGGAACGACTTACCTCTAGAAGTTGTGGGTGCTCCATCACTGGAGACTTTTAAGAAGAAATTGAACAACCTTTTGTCTGAAATAGTATAGAGTTTCCCACTTGGACTAGGACAGGGGTAGTCAACCTTGGCTCTTTTATGACTCGTGGACTTCAATTCCCAGAATTCCTGAGCCAGCTTAGCTAGCTCAGGAATTCTGGGAGATGAAGTCCACGAGTCATAAAAGAGCCAAGGTTGACTACCCCTGGACTAGGAGACCACCAAGGTCTCTTCCAGCTCTATTCTGATTGGTCCTCACTGTGTTCTTTATTTTTTAAGGCAGTTTTTAAAAAGATTATACCAAAGAGTCCTAAATGTCATATACATGGTTCTTGTCCTCCATCATTGTCACCTATCGTAATACAGGTAGTCCTTGATTTAAAACAGTCCATTTATTAACTGTTCAAAGTTAAAACGGCACTGAAAAAGGGATGTATGACCATTTTTCACACTTAAAACCTTTGCCGCATCCCCGTGGTCACATGATCAACATTCAGATGCTTGGCAACTGGCATGCAATTGTGACAGTTTCCCTAGGGAAAATGCAGTGATCATTTTTCCCTGAAAAACTTTTTTTCTAGGCGTTCTCCATATGGCCCGTATCTTGGCTGTGTTTTTGAAGTATCTGAAAATATGGCGTTTCCTGCAGTCCTTCGATTCGGGTGAATGGTGAACCTCTTGTAGGGATATTATACGTTAGTCTGAATGCTTTCTCTTTGACATGCACAGATTATTTTTTAAAAATTGTTTATTTTTAATGCTGTATGCCGTCCAAAGTTTTTACAAAGATAGATGACCTTCTAAATTGGACAAATAAATAAATAAGGCACCTGAACCCATTGGCGATCACACTGGTCATCATTACAGCTGGGAAGGAATAGTTAAAATTTAGGAGAAATGTAAGGAAATGAACTCTGTGCAAAATCTTTCTACTTATTATATAAAATCTGGATTTCCAGTTGGAATAAAAGAAAAACACAATCCTTAAAAGACTGGAATAATCCTGGCATACAATCGTTCTGTTCCAGGCTCATTTGAGCTACACCACATAACCACTGGCAGAACCGATGAACAATGAAGCTGCGCCGGAGACACAACTTTCACAACTGCAAGTCAGAACCCACCGACGTTCCCCCAGGGCATACCATCATCCTATAAAAACATGTCTCACCATCGTTTCCGCTAAAAAAAAAAAAAAAAAAAAAACGAGGCAGATGCAGAGATAGCTTGTTCTTCACCTCTCTCAAAGCTCCAGGTAGACGTAAAAGAATCAAGGAGACATTTTCCAAGAAGAGAACATTAGTCACAGTGGGGTGGAGTTTGTTTTGCTATCTAGGACTGTCTCTAGTACCTTAAGGATGGTTTCCACATTTTACTGGAGGCTAGTTGCTTCTGCTGGGCCAAGAGTTCAGTTTATTTTTATTCTTTCCACTACTGAGGAGGGCTCAGCGATAGCTCAGCAGTTAAAAAGCCGAGCTTGTCAGCTGGAAAGCTGACAGTCCAGGTTCAAGACCCAAGCACCGCGTGACGGGGTGAGCTCCTGCTACTTGCTCTAGCTCCTGCCCACCTAGCAATCTGAAAGCATGCAAATGCAAGTGGATAAATTGACACCACTTCGGTGAGAAGGTAATGGCGTTCCTTGCGCCTTACCATACAGTCATGCCGGCCACATGACCACAGATGCATTTTCAGACAATTCTGGCTTCCTCCGCTAAGAAACAGAGATGAGCACCATCCCTAGAATCTGAAACAACTGGGCAGGGGAAACCTTTGCTTTTATCTCCCCGCCCCCCACCCACACTACTAATCTTATTTCTTGGAGAGGCATTGAAAAGGAATGGCAGTTCAGTAGTATGCTTTGCATAAGTCTCCAGCTTAATCCAGGGTATTCTACATTTTAAAAAAATGCATAGGTTGGACTCATAGGAAAAAAAAAAACTTGGGCATCTTTATTGGAGTAACTGATATTGGGCCGAGCAAAGCAAAAGTTCATACAGTGCAGGACCAGCCTTCTCTGCAAAATATTTATCTCAAAATGGCGCAAAGCTAAGCTGGAGGGAAAACAGAAGGTGTGCTTAATACACTCATAACTGAATACTACGTGCAAAGAAAAAATTAAAAGCCACCAGTACTCACTATTGTCTGATCCCACTTGGGCGATGGTCATCAGTGACATGGATTTCGTTAATGGAGGAGAAACAGGATTTGTGCAGAAGCCGAAGGTGTGGGGCTGTGATCTTTGGAGAATCTGTGAAATGCGGAATTGTTACACTAAATTCAGTCTTCTCAGATGGGTCAAACAGACAAATAGAGGATAATATTTGTAGCTCAGGGCTTAAATGAGGGGTCCTTGGTGCTTTCTGAGCTTGGTCGTTTTCTTGAAGATGTTTCATGACCTAACTAAGTAACATCATCAGTGCTAGAAGGGAGCGTGGGTAGGGAGGGAGGGAGGTAGAGGGAGGAGAAGGTAGCAGCATTTCTAGAACTGGAGTTCAAACTCTCCAGCTTCCTTGAGAGCACAAAAATTACGACATCTAAATCTTTTCTTGATCTAGCTATGATGTGAAACTGCCTTGCCAACTAGTTCTACTACAGCATGCCTGGGGTATTTAAGAGGAAGGTATTTATAAGTAAACAGCTTGCTTAACATAAATGAACCATGGAGAAAAAAAATCTATACTAACCCCCTCCCACCTCAAATGGATCTAGAAGTTGAAGTCTTCTTTGAGTCAAACTCAACTTTTGGTAGCCTTGTGGAAATGCTCATGCAGTTTCCTGGATGGTAGCAAAATGTGTGTGTGTGTGTGTATGTGTGTGCAGAGCTCCATTAAGAGTTCTACATTTTTTCTAATTATAAATTTGTTTTTTTTTTTACTTTTCAATCTAGTTTATAGCTTTAGAGTATCAATGACTTTCATGTAAGTTAGTTTGATCCTCAGATTTTCAAGATCAGCCGGTCAGCTTGATGCTGCCCTAGCTGGATGGTTCTAGAAGGGCTTAAATACACTGCTAAACTCTCCTACCATTGATCACAAGAGTGGAAGGTGACAATCAAGCTGAGGATCACCTTCTAAAGAAATTATGGAAAGAAACAGTGCCTTCTGAGGAGCAAACTGCTTCCGCCCACAACGGGCTTTGTAGACCATGCAAATCAAGCTACGATGCCATATCCTTGGAATTAACTTCCTTCTTACCTGACTTCTCATTTCTCCTAGCTCCGATTCTTGTTCCTCTTCAGTGAGTGAGACCAGTGATCCTCGGTCATCATTGGCTAAAGGACTCTGACGAAGATCCTTGGTGTTCATAGATGCTACATCAAGACTTGACGATGGCTTACTAGTAGTATTATCAGCCTCTCCAGAAAGTCCTTCTAAGCTGTAACTGGAAACAAATGACAGGAATTAGGTTTCTCCCAGTACTTGATGAATCAGTCTATAAAATCTTTGTTGGCTTAAGCAAGCTTGGCAGGAAATTTTCAAGTAATATTGTGCTGTATATATTATTTTGCTGTAAGCGGATCTAACTGGTTTCCTTGGTTAGTTAGCATGTTAGCACATTACTGCGGTCAGAATTAGAGACCCAATCCACCTGCAATAGCTCCTTTGCAACTTTCTGCATACATACATACATACATACATATTTTCTGAGGTTTTCGCGCGTGTTTGTATGTAGGTCTTTGGTTATTAGGGTTTTCTCCCGCGTAAAATTGGAAGTGTCTTGGCGACGTTTCGACAAACTCCCATTCGTCATCTTCAGGCTGGTGTTTTCAGCTTCATGCTTCGAGGATGACGAATGGGACTTCGTCGAAACATTGCCAAGACACTTCCAATTTTACGCGGGAGAAAACCCGAATAACCAAAGACCTACATATATATGTGTGTGTGTGTGTGTGTGTGTGTGTGTGTGTGTGTGTATGTGTGTGTGTGTGTGTGTTTGGTTATTTGGGTTTTCTCCTGCGTAAAATTGGAAGTATCTTGGCGACGTTTCGACGAAGTTCCATTCGTCATCTTCAGGCTGGTGTTTTCAGCTTCGTGCTTCTAGGAGCTATGTATGATGGTTGTTGTCATTCCATGCATATTTACAATACTTTCTGAGTTTTCCTACATTGGGTTTTTACTTTCTTGCGATAATTGTTTTCAGCTTCATATAGCAATAGCACTTAGACTTATATACTGCTTCACAGTGCTTTACAGCCCTCTCTAAGCGGTTTACAGAGTCAGTTTCTTGCCCCCAACAATCTGGGTCCTCATTTTACCGACCTCAGAAGGATGGAAGGCTGAGTCAAACTTGAACCCTGTCAGGATCGAACTGCCAAATTGCTGGCAGCCGGCAGTCAGCAGTCAACAGAAGTAGCCTGCAGTACTGAATTATAACCATTGCGCCTCCACGGCTCTTCATAGAATGTATTATAGTTCCTTTTCCTGCTTAAAAATTAATATTTTACTTAATTAACTACTCAGGACGTAATTCCACCTCCAGTGTTTCCCACGCCTAGCCCCCAACGTTAAGTGGGACTTAGGCTTTGCTTAGTGTGTACACTTGATAGAATAAGAACATGCACATGCTTTGTTAAGCATATTTCTTTCTCAGTTTTCAGACTGAGCCTAGTAAAACATGCTATTGATAAAGAGATTACACTGGAAGAAATGGAGTTAATCACTTGGTCATCCATGGTGAGCAAAAATGGCTTCCAGGCAACTAGGGATTTTTTTTCCTCCATAAAGAGTACCTTCCCATAGTGCACCATGGTCTTGGCAAGTTGCCTGGCAACTTATGTTCATGCCAGACAGCCCAAACTCAGCTCAGTATGGCATGAGGTGTTTTTTCCTGCTCTGAAGAACTGACAGCCATCTTCTTTGATTTGGTGATGTAGAAGATTCTATTTAAGTTACAGCCAGAGACCTTGTAAAGCTTAGCGTGACATTAAACAAGTCTCTGTCCTCCAGTTCAGGTAATAAGGAAAGGTTGGGATGTGGTGACCACAAATACCAGGCAGCCACCAAGTAAAACACGTAGTACAAAGAAACTGAATCGAAACAGCACATCACCCAAGCCAGCAGATACATTGAGAATGCAACGAGACAACAGACATCACACAAAAAGATGGCAATGATAGATGCAGAAGCTCCCTTGGATGCTATGGCATACTCTACCTTCGACCATTAAAGTCAGCATCCATGGCATTGCACTGGACACCTGAGGGACACCAGCTCAAACTGGGAATAACAAAGGTAAGAGACAGCAAGAGGTCTGCCATTATTTGACTGATAAGAGGGGCAGATGCTTACCAACATGGCTACCCTTGAAAGCACTATACTTCTTTTTCCCAATAAACTTCTGCACATATGTTCCTACATAGTTCCATTTTTTTTAATTACTACTATTTCATGATTTAAAAGCTAGTCTGTTAGGAAGCCCTCTCTATTGGCTGAAGTGCTCAAGAGCTTGGCTGAGCTGCCCAGAAGATGCATCAATATTCAATTCCCAGAAAAGGTTACATCCATAGAAATGTTGATCATTTAGTGGAAAATTTTGTAGGAATTGTCAGCTCATTTGGCAGAGACTAAAACCTCATATTCTAGTGGACCAGAAGGTATGTGATTGAAATGAAGGCAAGAAAATTTCTAAAAGAGCTAAGAGGCACCAACAGGGAAAACTGGGAAAGAACAAATGAGAAAGAGTTCATGAGGGATGAGCAAAGTATGGAATTTATGAATAGAAAAATCAAAGAGAAAGAAAAGGGAACAGGAGTAGAGTAGGGTAGGGTAGGGTAGGGTAGGGTAGAGTAGAGTAGAGTAGAGTAGAGTAGAGTAGAGTAGAGTAGAGTAGAGTAGAATGTGGAGTGGAGTGGAGTGGAGTGGAGTGGAGTGGAGTGGAACGGAACAGAACAGAATAGAACAGAATAGAATTTCAAATATGAATGTAGATCTATACACGTGACCAGCAAATGTAGTAATGACTAGGTTACATGAAAATTAAAAAGCCTCTAGGTGGCACTAGGAGAAGAGTTGTGCTGAAATACTGGATTAATTTTTCAGCAGTGATTTTCTTTTTTATATTAAGTACAATATCAGGTTTTCTAAACTTGGTTGCCAATGGATGTGCTGGATTACAGCTCTCATCGCCTCCAATTCACAAGACCTAAGGATGGGAATCAGGGTTGTATACATTTGGAAGGCACAAGACCGAGGTTGAGCTCCCCAATGTATACCAAACTGGCACTGCTTTTTTCTGCAGTATTTAAAAGCTCAGCAACAGCTTAAATATGCAAAACAGAAGTTTCAGAGCAAAAACATAATTAATACCCAAGTTCTATCATTAGCTCCAGAAATATGTGGCTTTTTTGTTTTGGTTTGGTTTTTCTATTTTGTTTTGCAAAATCACCATTCAAGCATTGAATGTTCTATTAATTTTGGCAGGATTAGGCTCACTGAGGTTTTTGAAATATAAAAAGGGTGAAGAGAGAGAAAGAAACAAAAGAACTAGAAACAACAACTTTTTTTTTTTTTACTTCCAGGGAGGCTGTTTATTTTTTCCCCCTTCTTTTTGTTTACTTATTTTCTTGATGTTCGTTTGTTCTGTAAGGAAAATGTATACATATTCCTGGGGGAAAAAAATCAGCTACATCATGGATGTTAAGAATGTTGTTTATTGATTTCATTTCTTTCATGTCTAGGTATTATGAAGTATTCATTTACTATTTTAATCTGAACTGGTTTGTTTTTATTAAACAAGACCGGTTTAATAAACAGAGATTTCTAGTAATTTCATTTGTAATGCAATGAGCTTTCCAAACTATGAAGTGGTTTAGAAAGATGGGAAGAAACTTGGTATTGACATGGTTCCTAGGTTTTTCTCATAGCTTACGAGTCAACGAGTTATTCCTGATAATAAATATACTATGGTTTGCACTAACTGCTGAAGCTAAACTAGCACTTATCCATAATCCTGTCTGTAGGGTAAATACAAAGTATCATTGCTGATTTCTCTGGAAATGGGAATGGAAATGGAAATGGAATGGAAAGAAGAGGAGAGGAAAGGAAAGGAGAGGAGAGGAGAGTTAAAGAGAGTGGGAGGTCTAGCAGAAAAATATTTAACTGTACCCCATCTCACTGCATCCTACAGAGATATAATTTTCTCTCCATATTTCTTTGCCCACTGAATATATGAGGGACCCAAAAGAGTTGAGATGGTACTTGGGCAGCTGTATAGTTTAATAAATCCATTTTACTACTTTGCATTAATAGTATTGATCCATCCATTTCAAATAGTAAACTATATTTTGGGCAAGCCTGCTCCTCCAGTGCTCCTCTGATCCTCAGTGGAGCTTGTGGTTGAAGTACTGCCCTCTAAATGGGTTGCACAATTGTGCCCACAGCCTTCAGCAATCATAGCCCAATCTCTGCCAGTTGGGGATTATGGCAGCTGAAGGCCAACCCATCCAGAGGAACCAGACTGAAGAAGGCTGAGCTGAATGGTGATTAACACAAAAGCAGGAAGTTAGTCGCCATCGAAATGCAACATGGTTAGTCAGCCTCAGCGTATCTGTGCTGTACCTTCTTCTATGGGAGGGAGCCTTCCTTACGACTTCCCCCAGCAGTCGCACTGAACTGAAAAAATGAATCATGGACAATTATCAGAAACATCATCAACCATTCAAAAATCTCCAGACAGAGACAGAAGGAGGTGGGGAGAATCCAAAGGGGAAGGGCAGAAGGGGTGACAACAGGGAGTAGAGGAAAATGACATGGTGGCAGAAGGGTGGGAAAAACGTTAGGTGTGAAGAACAGTCTTAGCCAGCAAGTTCACAGTGCCATCTATGGGCAAGAAGCAGAAACTGAATGATCCTTGGCCCAACATAAACCTATTGGTACCCCAAGGTCATTTCCCACACTGCCTGCCCAATCCAAGATTGTGCAAAATGAATAACTGGTCCAGGTCCTAGTCCTCGACTTATGACTGCAATTGAGCCCCAAATTTCTGTTCCTAAGACAGACAGTTGTTAAGTGAGTTTTGCCCCATTTTCTGCACCACTTCACAACTGTGAATCACTGCAATTGTGAAGTGAGTAATGCAGTGGTGAAGCAAGTCTGGCTTCCCCCATGGACTTTGTCAGAAGGTCGCAAAAGTGATCACATGACCCCAAGACACTGCAACTGTCATAAATATGAACCAGTGGCCAAGCATCTGAATTTTGATCATCTGTTCATGGGGATGATGAAAGGGTCAGCCCTGGGACTACCTCTCTTGATTCATTTCTTAAATTTATATACCACCTTTTTATGTAAGAACTCAAGGTGAGATTCTCAGTGCTTCCTCTTATTTTGCTTCACTCCAATCATCCTCTCTAGGTAAACGGAACGCCCAAAGTCACTCAATGAGCTTCTTCCATGGTTGAAGCTAGCTATGAGTCTGAATCTAATCACAACAGCCTGCTGGCTTCCTGCATGATGCAACCGGCCTGCGGGTCGGCAGTTTGACACCCCTGATCTAGATGATTGGATGGTCCTGCTTCGTTTCTTGGCCTTTATTTTCTACCTTAATAAAATAGGAGCTTCCAGCTTAGGTGAGAAACCAACAGCTTAAGCCATGTTTACTCAAAACTCCCACTTCTCTTGGCTATTGGATCGGGCAAATGGAAATGGCGCTGAGATTACAAAGGTGAAAGCCAAGCAACCAGAACATACCAAATTGGCTGTGCTTAACCTCCAGGATTTTCCACTTGGATCTCATGTTTTGATTTTGTGGCTGAACCTTCATACCTCTTTCCTTCCAGCATCTTGTAAGCCCCAGATTTCCTTATCAGCCCCTTCCAAGAAACCATTTGACTTACCTCCTCTGGTTGACCTCAGCTTCGCCGTTGTTGCTGTTCTTCCCTGGGCCCCAGCTATGCCGACGGAAAGGTGACAACGGCCTCAAATTGTTCCGCAAGCCAGACGAAGGAGGGGACACCTCCATGACACTATCCAGCAATTCGTCCAGTTCTCCAGAGACCACTGCCATGCCATCTTGACCTTCTCCATTCGCCCCCATGTTGAAGCAGCTGCCATCTGGGCTGTACCTCTCCTTGGACCCAAGGAGACCAGGGGTGCGAGGAACAGAAAAGTTACTGCCGAAGGAAGAGTTCCTTTCCAGCGATGTGGTATCTTCCACTGAAGAGGTTGAGCTCCTGCCAGCTGATTGTTCCTCTTCAGGCTGCTTTGAGATTGCAATAATACAGGAGTAATGGTATTGATAGCAGTAGTTACTAATAGCAATAAGAATACCATCAATTTATTTCAGATAGAAAGTAGGTTTCTTCCCAAGTGATCGCTCTATTGTAACCATTAATGGGACCAAAAGGAAATTTATTAAATACATAGGGCAGGGGTAGGCAACCTTGGCTCTTTTATGATTTGGGACTTCAACTCCCAGAATTCCTGAGTTCAACATGGCTGGTTCAGGAATTCTGGGTATTGGAATCCACAAGTCATAAAAGAGCCAAGGTTGCCTACCCCTGACATGCTAATTATTTATTGATAAATGTATTTAAAATAACGGCTTTTATTCTGAATTTAATGCAAGCTTTTCATCTTAAAACTGATTTTGAAATTACTTTTTAATTTATATTTTAATCTCTCCCATCAACACGGCTTTTGATCTTAGCCGGCGGACCAAGAAATGGGTCCATCCCATTTAAACTCAAATAAATCTGACAGCGTTTCGGTCCTGACTCTACTAACATTGTAACATTACTTATTTTGACACACTTTCCGAGCATGCATTCTTCTTATTTTATTGAAGAAAAAAAATATTTCATTTTTCTTTCTGAAAAACAATCCAAATTACAGAAAGAAACAAGAACCAAATCGAAAACAAATTGGAAAAGAGCAAAATGAAAACACAATTCAAATGGCAAGGAATCAAATGGTAAGTTCAATTCTGAAGAAAAGATGATGTAGGAGATGACTAGGCTGACTCTGAAGGCGGGGTCAAATGCACTATCAGTTTGGAATCACTACGCCCCTGTAAGTCTAGCCCTTCTTAAACTAGCCCCTCTTAAACTTATCTGACACCTATTCACCTTGACCATTAGTAGATCAGATTCTTGTTTATAGATAGCATGGAGTAAACTCATCGTGCTTTTGAACTCTATCCTGGCTCCTGATTTCTTGCAACTGACGCCATAGCCTCTGACGCTTATTACAATGCCTGCTTCAGACAACAGAGTCCAAGTCATTAGTCCATCAACTGTGGTTCAATTCCTCCTACCTTGCTGAACCAAGAGTGGATTTTGTACAGCTGTCTGCAAGTAGCTGTACACAAACAGTACACACAACCCAAGGTCGTTTATGTGCTAGTCTAATAGAGAAGCCCAAGCTAAGCACCTCATTCCAGAAGATATGTGACAATTCCCCAAGGAGATAGCAGACATGGCAGCCAACATTTCCCAGTGACCTTATCTCTCATATAGAGAGTTGGTGGATGTTTTGCTTCTGGTTTACATAAGTAAGAATACTGTCCCTTGCGATCTTGGATTCTACAAGCTCCAGATCTGGATACCCAATCCTTGCCTGAACCACTCTGTGGTTCATTAAAGCTTGCACCACTGGGAAACTGAACTCAGATCAATAAGGAAAGAAGGATGATCTCATCAGAGACAGTTATTAAAAGGGGATTTACAAGTTCCCTGCCAATGACTTAAAAGTTTAAGTAAAGAAGAAGTGATCTCTGCACATCCTCCTTCCAAATCTTTAACTCTGCACAGAAATCCCCTAAAGTATATTTGAATCCGAAAGTGATAAGGATTTTTTTCTGGGGAGGCGGAGAGAGGAGATGCAGCACAAGACTGATATCTCATCTCATCACATCACAAGGTGTTTGATGGATCACAAGCCCAACATTAACACTGTGGTATATTTTTCAATCTTGGAGCTTTCCATGACACCACAATGAAGAAGCAGACAAACTTACAGTACATGGAATACATTGAAGTGTGTGTTGGGTGGTGGGATTTAATTGTGTGGGTGCTGAACTACAGTTCCCAGCAGACTGAGCCTGTAAAGCCAACGGGGAGGATGTTGGGATCCAAAGTGCAGCCATGTGTAGAGGATCACTATTTCCTTATCCTGTCCGAGAGAGGACCTTGAGCTACAGTTTGGCCACAGTCAAGGCCAATGGTGGTCCAGCATGCCAAAAGGAGGCTACCTGAGACCTCCACGTAAAGCTCCTTGCTTCTTGATGTGCTGTAAAAACTGAGGCTTGCTCTAAGATGGCAACAGCAGATGATTTGGCTGGGGGAAAAAAACACCAATGGGATCTACCTTCTCGGTTCTATTGGAACCAGTTTATTTAAATCTAGATTAAAGCAAAATATCTTTGGAGATTCTCAGTCATCCAGGTCATGGTTGTCCCAAAGCTGCTTTTTCAGGAGGCAACTGGACTTCCTTGTTTTTTCTTTGAAGACATTTCTCTTCTCATCCAAGAAGCTTCTTCAGCTCTGATCGGATGGCGGGGAATAGAAGGATTTACTGTGACCCTGAGGACACAGAAAGCCTCCAAGTGGCCTCAATGACACTCTAAAAGAATGCAAATGACCAGCTGTCTGCAAGGAGTATAAATCATTCCATTCCCCCACCATCCAGTCAGAGCTGAAGACGCTTCTTGCGAAACATCTTAAAAAAAAAAACTTGAGAAAGTCCAGGTGCCTCCTGAAAGAGCACCTTTGGGACTAGATTAAAGCAGGAATGCCCAGCAAAGCAATGACGCCTTCATTTCAAAAAACAAATGAAGCAGTGTTCACTGGGCACACAAATTTAGTATTGTCCAAATGTCACTACCTAAAGTTTGACATTTTTATTTTTTTTTTTGCTTACAATTAAACAGATGCTTTTTTTCAAATGTCTCCCAGATCAAGGGACAGGTATTTTTCTTGCAACTCTAACAGCTTCCAGTTAAAAGAGCCCCCCCAGCATCTTTCACTTTTGTCCCATCTGTGGGAATTCTGGGGATGAGGGGATGCTTGCTTTTTGTACAATGGCGAAAATCTTGAAATTCCCACATGCCCACCAGCTGTACTGCAAAACCCTGTTGCATTAGTGGCTTCCTACTCTTGGGATGAGGTCATTTGCAAAAGGAGGAAGTTTTAGTTTTGTCTGCAAAGCCCTGTTCTGATGGGAACAGACACTTGATGAATCTGTCATGGTAATTCTGTCTTGGTCAGTCAATCTTTAGCCCAGCACCATGGCAGAACATCTCTGCATGGAGAGATGTAAGAAAAATGGCTTTGCAACTGTTCTTCCATCTGGCTTCAACCGTGAGCTCAAAATAATCAACTTCTCAACAACCTCCTTTCCTGTTCTCAAGGCTAAGTTACCCAGATGTTACATAAAAGCGTTTCTCTGAACACAAGATCATGCTTGCATCAAAGCTTACTAGTAGAACTTCTTCTTTTATTAGGGGATGGGGTTCGTAATTGCATAATAATGGCAAGAACAATATTCCCAAAAAACACAAACAAACAAAGCCCAAAGTTTATAGGCAAAAATTCCCGTTCCTTTCAGTGCCTCACCCTTTTACTTAGGCACTCCCTAGATTTGTACACAAGGCTAAAGGAATTGGAAAACAGCTTTCCCCCCCAGGACTTCAATCCAGAATAGCTTTTCTTCTTGGCCAGAACTTCAGCAGCTTAGCTATGATCAGAAAAGCAAGGGTGGCCCTTAGCTTGCCAGGAGTCTCTGGACTTTTAAAGCATGCTGCTGACTCGGGATGATGCAACCAGCATTAGCGACCCATCCAGAAGTCGTGAGTTAAACAGAATGCTCAACGGTTGAAACATTCTCAGGAGATGCAGCAAGGAAAGTGGCAGATTTATCAGGAGAGTCTGAAACAGACTGCAGGAAATGACTTCAGACTGCATGATTCATTGAGATGGGCCCATGTCACAACGTAGGTCAGTGAGAAAAAGGAAAATTCAGAAGGTTTCTGGGATAACCAATGGAACTTGCCTTGAAGGCCCTGCAAGGGTGGGGCTTTTTTCTCCAAGTTTGTGGGCTGAAGTAGAAGAGCTTTGGTAGATCTATTGGGCCAATTTTCATCTTACCTTTCTAAAGTCCACCTCATCCAGACCATCACTGGAGAGAGGAAAGAGCTCGGAGTCACTCCCGGATCCTCTCTTAAGGATGCCTTGTGAAGAAGAGCCGTCACCGCTTAATCTGTCTTCTAGAAAATTATCACTTTCTGGAAGAAGACAAATTTAAAACACAGACATATGAATCACAGAATCAGAGATTAGCAAATCCAACCAGGTACTGAGGAGATAGGAACTACAATGTGGTCTACGGGGAAATTGAGGTCATCTCAAGATGTTGGCGAACCTCAGGGAGATGACCCAATGACGCCAAGTGGACTGGTAACTGGACTCCAGAGCAGCATCTTTAATGTCCTCACCTGTCCAATTTAGAGGACAAGGCACAAGTGGTGTAACGGTTAAGTCTACCAACAGAGAGGAAAACCTGCGTGGAGGTCATCAAGGAGGCAAACCAGGCAACTAGCTATCCTGGACACTCAAGACCCAAGGAGCCTTGCCAGAGACATTTTTAATTCTTATGACTCCTTAATGTTTCCATAGCATTTTCTAGCTTTCACAGCAATTCTCATATAATATATCCCGTCAGTAATATTTCCATTGATCCTGCAGCATATGTCAAATAATTTGCCAAAAAGTACAATGGAAATGCAGTATAAATGTCTACAACCAAGACATTTAAACTCCAAAAGGGGAGAGAGATTAATTCTTTGAGTGAACTGGATAAAGTGTGCAAAACTTTCCATAATTTCTTTCTTATTCCGCAGCTGTTTCTCTCTCTTTTTTTTCATTATTATTCTACTTTAAAGCATTTTAAGATGGTAGAAAAAAGAAAACGTGCCAGATATTATTAAGGAACCGCATTTTATTTGACGTATTCAGTTTCTGTAGCTGCCTATCTCAGCCAGGGGGGCAGCTACACTCTTTCTACCTCAAAGACATTCCAGCCAGTAAGATAGGTCTGTTCTGTTAGCCATGTTCATTTACTTATAAACACAGAAATTATTTTAATCCAGTATTTCTTCCATTAGAGAAAGGTGTGCAAATAAGAACTCCGGTTCCAGTTTTGATCTCTGAATATCAAAGGAAGACTGAGCTGAAAGATAATGACTGAACTACCAGTAAATTTTCTCCACTCTCCTGAGTATGTTGCTTAAGAGAAAGATTAAACCTGGCTATGAAAAGATTCTTACCTACTGCAGGTATTATAGTAGGGGAGCCTCAAATAATTTGCACCTGCAGGATCAACCTCCCTTCCCCTTCCTTTCATTTCCAATTTAAATCCTACATCTGTCCATCTTTTCTCAATCTTTTAGGGGAGAACTTTCAGATCTCAAGGAATCCCCTGCATTAAAAAACGCAAGAAATGTGGATCCTTCGCCATATGCTTAATCTCTAACCTTCACAACCCAGGTTTTACACATTTTTAAGAAGAGCAAAATGGTAGCTGAATTGTAGCAGGTAAAAATTCTCACCTCTGTGGGTGCTAGAACACATGGCATGCAAAGTTCAAAAAACAATGTTTTTTTTTAAATTCTTAATCTCTTGTGGAACTCCTAGAAACTGTTCACAGAAAACAAGAGCCCTCCTATGCACGTGGCAAAGTGCTGAGCTGCAACTCATGAAAGCATATACCTTCTAATAAAATCTGTCAGTTAAGAAAAGTTCTCTCAGATGCCTACTAAAGTTTTGCACGCTTACTACCCATTTCTAAGATCAGGACAAGCAGATTTTTTTTTTTATCAAATCAAGAAGACTAATTCTTTTTTTCATCAAGACTTTGGCCTCAAAGATTTCAGGCAGCCTATTATGAAACTTGCAAGAATCAATTGTCTGCAGTGGTAGTTTGAAGAACGTTGACTTCAACTCCTAGAATTCTTTAGCCAGAATGGTGGCTGAAGAATTCTGGGAGTTGGTCCACACCTTTTCAAGCTGCTAAGGTTGAGAAATACTGGGAGATATATATGTACACGGCCCAAATATGGGAAGAAGAAATCTTTTGCCTGTATCAGCCCAATCTAGGTTCGAATCTCAGAAGGGTATAGCTGACTGATGAGAGCTAAGGAGCTTGAAATAGCTATACCAGCTTCCCTTTAACTCCTTGTTAGAATCCTTGGAAATAGCTAATATTTCACAAAGTAGCTACGGTTATGCAAAGGGTAATTTCTCTATTTTAACAGGTGTGACTTCTTTCCTCATACCTTCTCCATCCTCATCGGTCTATATTTCTTTTCCATAAGTTGAAGAAGGTGAGAGAATTTTTAAAAGAGAGAGAGAGAGAGGAGGGGAAAAATAAACAAAAGCCAGAAACCTCAGGGATTCAGCTGGCAATTTAACAGAGCATATCCCACGGCATTCCAGTCTGAAGGGCAAGCCAGCTCTGTACTGAAGGGGGGGAAAGAACACTAACAAAATACTGAAACGGAAAAATCACAAAGGAAGTTCCAGATTCGCCACTGGGTAGCACCAGCTCCAGAAAAATTAAATCAATTTCTGAGCTGCAAAGGCACAGCAAATTTGGCAAAGCATCTTCCATGTTTTTCTCTCTTTTCTAATTAGCTTAAAATTGGTAGACATCACACTACTCATCTAAAGTCCCCCAAAACAGCCCCCTCGACACACAGCCACACACACACAATACGCTGCAGCTGATCTTGGCCTGGTTCAGATATAGCAACTTTTGTGGCTGTGTTTTGCTAAGAGAACAAGATACAGCAAATTGGTGATATTTCTTCCTTACCCTTCTTTCCTTGTCATATTCATATCAGGATAAGAAACTTGCCTTTCAATGTTGAACAAATCCTGCATCCAGGTTATAATAATAATAATAGTAGTAGTAAAGTTGGAAGGGATCTTGGAGGTCATCTAGTCCAACCCCCTGCTCAGGCAGGAAACCCTGCACCATTTTGGACAAATGGCTGTCTAGCTCTTCTTAAAAACTTCCAGTGTTGGAGCATTTATTGCTTCTGGAGGCAGGCTGTTCCACTGATTAATTGTTCTCACTGTCAGGAAGTTTCTCCTTAGTTCTAGGTTGCTTCTCTCCTTGATTAGTTTCCACCCGTTGCTTCTTGTCCTGCCTTCAGGTGCTTTGGAAAATAGTTTGATTCCCTCTTCTTTATGGCAGCCCCTGAGATACTGGAATACTGCTATCACGTCCCCCCTTGTCCTTCTCTTTGTTAAACTAGACATACCCAATTCTAGCAACCGTTTCTTATATGTTTTAGGTTAATAAGGGGAGCTGTGATTTCTTTTTAATTTAATAGGTAACATTTGAGTGGGAAGGTAACAGCGTTCCGTGCACCTTTGACACATAGACACACGATCACAGAAAATATCTTTAGACAATCCTAGCTCCCTCAGCCAAGAAACAAAGATGAGCACCCTAGAATAGGACACAACTGGACAGGGAAAACTTTACCTTTACTTAGCAAACTAGGATCAGGAAACTCCTAGAACTGACCTGGCTTCCTCTTAGCCTAGCATGTAAGAAAGTCCAAGCAATATAGGGCAAGTCATCCTTTCATACTTGAAGAACTGCAAGCATAGGAAATAGTCCCAGTTTGAAGGGGAAGAGTTCCCGCCCTGGAGAATCAGTTATGATATAAAATGAAGGAAAAGTGAGAAATAAAAAGACTCAAGGAGATAGGGAAAAAAGTAAAATGCAACCAACAAGAAGAATGTTAGGTGTCTAGCTATCTTGTAACAGCTGAGGGTTTTCTGAACTCTTGGAAACATTCCTTCATCTTTCTAGGGAAACATGATTTATTTTTCTGTTTACATTCGTTGTGTTCTTCGTGTGTGCTCACATTGTGCAATCCAAGATTATTTTCACCTTTCCTGATGGCCTGATAAATCTCCCAAGGCAGGAATGCCGGCTACAACAAAGCTGGAAGAATGACAAGTTCCCAGCAGAGGTGCCATTAACTTCCTGAAAAATCTGATTTATGGACTGACCTCTCTGTAACCAATCTTTCCAAAGCTGAAGAAAGGAAACCATGGAGCTTTTTAAGGTACAATTATAGGGTCAGGGTGGAAACTGGACTTGCAGCAGTAGAAAACATCTCCTTTGCTTTAACATTAAGCAGAATTAAGAAGTAAAAGGACAGTATGCCACTCTACGCTCAAATTTGGAAACATTTGATCCTACCTATAATGGAGGACTGGCTGGTGAAGATGATGGAACATGCAAAGATGGCTAAATTAATTTCTTTGATCAACAGAAAAAAAAACAGTATCTGCATTTATGGCTGGCTGGAAACCGCTTATGGATTTTTTGCATGAGACTGAAAAAAAATGTACTTATGATTTGTGGTTTTGATGATCAAATGATGGAACTTGCAAAGATGGCTAAATTAACTTCTATGATCACAGACAAAATAATATTTACATTTATGGCTTCAAACCCTTTGCAGACTTTTTGCACGAAACTGGAAGAAAGTGCGCTGATGGTCTGTGGTTTTGATGATTAGAAAAAAAGCTGGATAACAGAAAAGAAGAGCTCTTTTCTTATAATTGTAAACTAACAGATAACAGATATTAGATAAGTATCCAGTTTTGGTCGCCACATTACAAAAAAGATGTAGAGACTTTGGAAAAATTGCAAAGAAGAGCAACTAAGATGATTAAGGGCCTGGAAACAGAAACATATGAAGAACGGTTGCAGGAATTGGGCATGGCCAGTCTTGAGAAAAGAAGGACTAGGGAAGTGTCTTCAGTCAACGCTGGCTCCCTCAGCTGTGGAGATGAGCACCATCCCCTAGAGCAGTGGTTCTCAACCTGTGGGTCGGGACCCCATTTGGGGTCGAACGACTATTTCACGTGGGTCGCCAAACAACGCAGTCCGCCATTTTCCCCCCTTTTCCTTAGCTGTGCTACTCCCTTTTATTCTATTGGCTTTTGAAAGCCAATGCGTGGTGCTGCTCCCGGAGGGGACAAAATGGCGGATCGCCGCCTTTGGCGACCCCCGAAAAGTGGTCGATCGACCCCAAATGGGGTCGCGACCCATAGGTTGAGAACCGCTGGTCTAATTCTATTGGCTTTCAAAAGCCAATAGGAATTGTCCAGGCTGTCTCTGCCCTGCTGAGCCCGCCAAAAGTCCCATTCTGCAAACGGTGCTGCACCAGTTGAGTAGTCCTCGACTTACGACCGGTTGGGGGTCACGGCATTAAAAAGGTTGAGAACCACTGCCCTAGAGTCTGACACAGGGAAACCTTTACCTTTATCTACAACTAGTCCATGTAGTGACATTTCTAAAGTGATGGTGGCATCAAAAAAAAGTGATTTATTTTTTCCTTTAAGCTTCCCACCCCTTATCCTCCAAGGCTGTCCATTCTGCCTCAGTAGGCAGAAGATAAGCAACAGATGGATGGAAATACAGGAGGAGGAGCAGAAGGGTGAAGAAACGGTCACTGACATCCATGAAGTTTTTAAAACAAGAATTCTGATTTGCACAACTATATTTCAGTAGCAGCATTTTATAACTCAGCTTTCGCCTACCTCATATTGATATGGCACAATGTCACAGGATGGATGTGAGTTTGGGGGGGAGGGGTTGGGAGTCCAAAGTTATCTGAAGGGCATTATACTGGAGAACTTGGATTGTGTTCTCCAAGAAGTCTATCCAGAAGCTTCTTCAACCCAACTCAGATGTGGTCTACCTGCATTCCTCAAACACAACACTGTGGTTTTTTGACATCCTGCACTGGACAGCACTTGGTAACTGAGTCTACTGCAGCCTGACAAAAAGATCCACGTTGTGCAGCTCCCCAAAAATAAGGTCCAGGAACAACATAGCACTCCTCTATTTCCATATGTCAAAGAAATCCTGTTTCTCTTACCTGCAGAGTTGCAAGGATGCTTCTGCTCCAACAGTAAAGAATCTGGAGAAGGTTCAACTGGACACCAGTTTTCACGGTTGATCTAAGGCAAAGGGAGAGAGGTGACAAATTAATGGGGATCTTTTGATGCAGCCTCCGTCTTCTCTTTTTCTATTTTAATTCTGCTTTTATTGTTTTTAATGCTCTTGTAATAATTATTATATCACAGTTTTAGTCGTGTTTTATTTATTTTACTGTTTTATGGGATTGTTTTCAACTTACCGTGAGGTGGGTGGCCATATAAATTTGATTAATAAAATAAATTAATGAACCCTTATCTTGACCTGGTCAGACTTCAAATGAATCAAGTAAACAGAATTTTTTATTATTATTATTATATGGCATATTAATCTTGCATTCCAAAAAGTAATGAGGAACCTCAGGACAAACACTAATTTTTATTTCATTTCCTTTATGCTGAATTTAAAGCAGAGTCAATACAATTCTGACACACATTTCGTTCAGACATATTATGTAGAGACCTAACTCTTTGGAGAAGGAAGGAAGGAAGGAAGGAAGGAAGGGAGGGAGGGAGGGAGGGAGGGAGGGAGGGAAGGGAGGGAGGGAGGGAGGAGGGAGGGAAGAGGGAGGGAGGGAAGGGAGGGAAGGAGGGAGGGAGGGAGAAGAAGGAAGGAAGGGAGGGAGGGAGGGAAGGAAGGAGGGAGGGAGGGAGGGAGGGAAGGAAGGAAGGAAGGGAGGGAGGGAGGGAGGGAAGGAAGGAAGGGAGGGAGGGAGGGAGGGAGGGAAGGAAGGGAGGGAGGGGGGGAGGGAGGAAGGAAGGACAATGGGGAGAGGGAGGGGAGGAGAGGGAAGGAAAGAGGGAAGCATGGGGCAAGGAGGGAGGAACGGAGGGAATACAGAAGGATGGAATTAGACAACCAACAGCCAGATGGATGGATTGAGTTGCACTGATGACAAATACACTATCGAGAGACCTGAAAGACCAAGTTAGGGACATATCATTACAGAGCACGTCTATCTATGTGGTCACTAAGACTCTACAAAATCAAACCATGCATAGGGATCTCTTCCAGCCCCTCCCCTCCATGTCACACTGCAAATCATAACATAGCATCAACCTCTGGAGAAGGCAGAGCTTCTCAAAGGCCAAATGCAGCTCCACCTATTTGGACTGCAGGGCCCTGAAGACTTTGCTATCACCTGCTCTTGTTTAATTTGCAGGGTTGTGTGTGAAAGAGACCCTTTTGTCCAGCCACTGCTTGGGCACTCTTCTCCAGCCTATCCCGGGTCACCTCAGACCACACCTTCCTTTGACAACTCTGCCAAGAATCAAGTCCTTTGCGGGATTCAAACTTCCGAATACAGTTATAGCAAATAATTTCACCAAAATGGGAAGGGGGGGGGGAAACGGATTATTTTTAACTTTCATTTCCTTTTTAAACCCTGGGGTCCCACATTTCCTTTAATCATGTTTTAATTTAGCTTCCAGCGTGCAAAGGAGATGCTTTTTTTCCTGTTTGTCAAAAGCTGTACCTGTATTGCACTATGCCCCCAATTCCCAGTGTTTGACTTCCAGCATAGCATGCTTCATAAGCCTGGTGACAAACCTACGGGCTGTACTCATATAATCTGCTAAACCTGCTTAATTTAACCGGGGCCAGCTTTAAACAAACCACAATGGCTGCATTCACACACATCGCCGAGCCGTGAACCATGGTTTGGCAAACCGTAATAGCTGGATTCATCTATTGCACTAAACTGCATTATGATTTAATGCAACATATGAACGGACAGTACACAATCAGGATAGTGGCAGTTACAGGTCCCATATGAAGAGATCCTAATAGGGAAATGAATAGGGAAAATGAAAAAAAAACATTTTCCCATCCAGTATTACTTCAGTATCCAGGTTTCCTCCATCATTCAGCAGTTAAACCAGACCAGAAGAGTGAATAAAAGAATAACAGAGTTGGAAGGTACTATGGAGATCTTCTAGTCCATCCCCCTGCTCAAGCAGGAGATCCTATACCATTTCAGACAAGTGACTGTCCATTGTCTTTTTTAAAGCCTCCAGTGATGGACCACCCACAATTTCTGAAGGCAAGCTGTTCTACTGGTTAATTATTCTCAGTGTTAGGAAATTTCTTTTTAATTCTAGGTTGGTTCTCTGCTTGATTAGTTTCCATCCGTTGCTTCTTCTCCTGCCGTCAGGTACTTTGGAGAATAAGTTGACCCTCTCTTCTTTGTGGTAGCCCTTAAATATGGGAACACTGATGTCATGTCACCCCCTAGTCCTTTTCACTAAACTAGACATACCCGACTCCTGCAACTGTTGTTTATAAGATACTTTTAAGGCCACTTTTGTGAACTAATTACTTCTGCATTGCAAGCATGCTGTCAGAATTGCTTTGCCAAGACCATATCGGCTAGACATCATGGAAGGGGATATAAAACTTCTGGAAGGCATCAGTGAACACAGCATTCAAATAAGAACACAGTCATAGTTGGGCATCAGGGGATGTGAGAGAAAAGTGACCTTAGCTCTCTGACCTTCCTAAGGCAGAATTTATGAACCAAGATGACACCAAGCTGGCAGGAATAGCCAACACTCCGGAAGACAGGCTTAAGATACAGAAGGATCTGGACAGACTTGAACGCTGGGCACTATCTAACAAAATGAAATCCATGGTGAAAAAGAAAGGTTCTACATTTAGGCAAGAAAAACCAAATGTACAGGTATAGTATAGGGGGTACCTTGCTCAATAGTAGTAACTGTGAGAGGGACCTCGGAGTCCTAGTGGACAATCACCTAAATATGAGCCAGCCGTGTGCTGCAGCTCCAAAAAGGCCAACACAGTGCTAGACTGCATTAACAGAGGGATAGCATCAAGATCACGTGAAGTGTTAATAACACTTTACAAGGCCTTGGTAAGGCCACACTTGGAATACTGCATCCAGTTTTGGTCACCGCGATGCAAAAAAGATGCTGAGACTCTAGAAAGAGTACAGAGAAGAGCAACAAAGATGATCAGGGGACTGGAGGCTAAAGCATATAAGGAACGGCTGCTGGAATTGGGTATGTCTAGTTTAGTGAAGAGAAGGACGAGAGGGGACATGATAGCAGTGTTCCAATATCTCAGGGGCTGCCACAAAGAAGAGGGAGCTATTCTCCAAAGTGCCTGAAGGCAGGACAAGAAGCAACAGGTGGAAATTAAGCAAGGAGAGAAGCAACCTGGAACTAAGGAGAAACTTCCTGACAGTTAGAACAATTAACCAGTGCAACAACCTGCCTCCAGAAGCGGTGAATGCTCCAACACTGGAAGTCTTTAAGAAGAGACTGGACAGCCATTTGTCTGAAATGGTATAGGGTTTCCTGCCTAAGCAGGGGGTTGGACTAGATGACCTCCAAGGTCCCTTATTATTATTAAGAACTTCCCAGCCAAAAGGGTTCCAGAACAGCAAAATGGGTGCTCCATCACTGGGAGGTTTTCAAAAACAGACTGTACAATCAATTGACTGGAATGATACAAAGTCTCCTGCCTTGAGAAAGGGGTTGGACTGGAGGACCTCCAAGATCCCTTCCAGCTCTACAATTTTATGTTCTATCATCTACATATAATGCAAGGGATGAACCAATCCTCGGGTTCTACCATGGTTCCTTTCATTAAATGCCATTAAAAATGTGCTACACTAGTTCAAAAAGATCTAGGAAACTATGTATGACCCCTCCCCTCCCCTCCCAGCCTCCATTTTAGACTGTTGAACTGTTCCCCATGTCTCTGAATTAATATATCCAAGCCAGACTGTTTGAGCCATTCCATTGGCTGCTTTCTTTCAACTGCCGTGCTCTCTCTCTGCCAGGAAAGTAAAGCTCTTAAGAGTGACAAAACATGCTCAGATTGCCACCTTACTGTTTGGTAGAGCAGATACTAATTTTAGCTTGGAAAGCGTCAGCGTGGGGAAAGGGGGAGAGTGGAAAAATGCCAGGGACCGTTAGCCAAGAAAGGTATCCGCCTCCATACCCTATTTAAAGGCACAACTAACTCCAGATTTCAATGAGGAGGGGGGGGAGTCAAACAAAAACACACAGACTGAAAACTTTGGGACCAGGAAAGAGAGCACGTGATTTTATACATATATACATATGTAGGTCTTTGGTTATTTGGGTTTTCTCCCGCGTCAAATTGGAAGTGTCTTGGCGATGTTTCGACGAAGTCCCATTCGTCATCTTCAGGCTGGTGTTTTTGGCTTCGTGCTTCTAGGAACACGAAGCAGAAAACACTAGCCTGAAGACGACGAATGGGACTTCGTCGAAACGTCACCAAGACACTTCCAATTTGACGCGGGAGAAAACCCGAATAGCTAAAGACCTACATACAAACACCCGCGAAAACCTCAGAAAACATATATACATATGCATATACATATAAATAAAATCGGACTCAAAGGCCTGAAAGAATATGGCCTTGCCAAGGCAATCAAGGCAATCAAATTGCACTTAGCAAACCACCAGCTGATTTTCCATTTGGCTGAGCAGCATGGGTTACTGAGTCTTGACTTAGGGCTTCGGAAGACTGGAATAGGGAGTGAAACTTCAAAAGTAGGTGAGAGAGGAGACAGTTGGTGTGTTATTAAAATAGGACATCTGTATTAAAATTCCAAGATATTTTATTTGTGGGGGAGGATAGATATTCATAGGAAGTTGCAAAACTGGATATGCAAAAAATGAAAGGGGGAGAAAAGTGAAAGATGGATTCAGCCCTGCTCTTCACCATGAAACTCAGTGGTGATGGGTTCACCAATGGAAGGCCAACATAAAGCAATAGATGCCCTATTCTGGGTTTGCATGACACAAATTGGGTTGAGTAACGTAAGAAAGGCGTTCCTTCTTGGACTAACTGTTGCAAGGGCAGAGCTGAGATTCCACCCTAATACATCCTTGGAAAAAAAAGAAAAATCAGAAATAGAATGCATAGTACAAACAATATAAATATGGCTAAGCAACTTCCAGATTAAAACATTAGCCGAAACCAACCACAAACTTAGCTAGCATGAGAAAACAATGCCAACTTAGAAGAAGAA